GGTTTTCTTTCATGTATAAAAGTATTATTTATTTTTAAAAACACAACAAACAACTCATATTCTATTTAATTTTTTTCTTATTTATATTGATATCTAAGTTTCGAACTATGCAAATTTTAATTTTTTAATATGTTAGTTAAAAGGAACGGAAATGACTAACTTTGGTCCATTCGTTTCCTGTTAAAATAATTTTTTGCTAGAGTCGCCATCTAGTGTGGTGATTTTAGTGCTTCCTTTTTTTCTTAAAATACTTCCTCATTCTTAGAGTTAAGTGCGTAATTGTTATTTAATTTTTTCTGAATTTTATTTGAGTGGCCAGATCTGTTATTTCAACTCATATGTTACTTTACTACCTGACTATATTTTTATGTTACAGAATATATATAACCAAAAATGCGAGAAGCGACGGCACTGCTATGTTGCCATGATATTTTATTTATTGCAACGAATACAATTAAAAATTAAGATGTCTATGTATTACAAGAATAAAATTATTGAAAGAATACTTGCTTTTATATTCAATCATAAACAATTTGAATGAATTTATTTCACATTATCTTTTTTGTGTATATCCGTTAACACCACATATGACATCCACGATTCATTTCAGATAATTTCCACAGATATGATAACAAAACTATAAGAATCATATGAAATTTTCCTAATTTCACTTTGAGGACCAACAGATTAGGCCCTCGGGTGTTATGTTGTTATGTTATTTCGTACGAGTTATACTTCAAAAGGTTATAAAGTTTAATTTCACTGAACATCTATGGCATAGATATATATTTATAACACATGACAGCATAGAGTCTATGATGTGAAGCGCTGCACGGGACGTCAAGTTTGAGGTTATTATTATAACAGAAATAGGAGAGACTAGTGTCAATGTACAGTCAACAACAACAACATATAAACATATACAACTGTCAAATTAAATAAAATCCCATCCAGTGACAGGACTTCGCTAATAAAACAATTTAAAGCGGTCATATTATAAAGAGGAAATATCTGGTTGTTTATACAAACAAACGAATAGGTTCCGAAACTACTGAACTAATTATAAAATATCTTTCACCTACGGGATGACACATCATATGCCGTGGACATGGTTTTGATATACTTATATATGTAATATTGTGGAGTAATTTATTGTTTCTGATTTTATTTTATTATTATTATTTATAGCTATTTACCCGTGACTTTGCTTGTATAAATTATAGCCTATGTTACTCGCGTATGTGTAACAAACAAGTCAAATCTTTCGTCTTTATAATATAAGTAAAATAAGTAATAATATTCTGTTATGAATTCTGATTAAGTACAATATTATAATTATATTTTTTATAATAAAAATAATAATAATTTATTTGCGTTTGAATAGAGTATACAAAAGAGATGTGAGAGATTCGCTTTCCACAACTGCAATTTTAAAAGTAAATAACGAACATGAGGTTTTTACATTTGTTCTACTGGAGCTACAAGAGTTCCCCGTGAAAAAATATGAAAATTGAAATAGGCTTATATATAAAAGTATATGAAATTACTAATAATTTCACTTGTTAAAGAAAAAATATGTTTATTACATTTGATATTATTAACAGTTTAAATTTAAAAAAAGTTTATGAACGTTAATGTTATCATCAGTGCACGTCAATTAAATTGGATTCTGTTTGTGATATTAAAAAAAAAACACTTTTTATTGAATTCATATGTATACATGGTACATAAACCAAAATATTGTTTTACCAATTTTATGTCAGTCTTATTGTCATAATTTTTAATTAAGATTTTCTGATAACCTTTATTATTATTATTTCTTTATTTGTATGCATCGAATAAGCTCCGACACTACTAGACCTATTTTAAAATATTTTCATCTACGAGAACTCACAACATACGCGGTTGACTATAGCTATAGCTAAGCTATATATTATCCTGAAAAACAACACATAAAGAAAATGGCAAACATGAAATATAAATCCTTATCCAAATCAGCTTTTAAATTATTTAAAGGAACAAAAACTTTTTTGAATAATAGAAATCGGTACAATCGTTGTCGGTAACATTACATGCTTATGTAAACGGTAATGATACATTTGTTTAACTGCTTCACTAGATGACGCTACTGTGTTTTTAAAACAGGATTTTGATTTTTTGTATTGTTTTTTTTTCCGATTTCTTATCAAAAAAAGTAGCTTTCGTTTTCAATTTTGCGGTTTTCTTATTAATAAAATTTAATGGGGTATTATTAATCGGGCCTAAAAATCAAATTTTATATTTAGTTCCTGTCGCTAGATGACAGAACTGTATTCTTAAAATGTTTGTAGTCTTCATTGTTTTTCCAATTTTTATCAAAATTCAACGGGGTATTATAAATCGGGCAAAAGTATGAAATGTTACATTTAGTTCCTGTCGCTAGATAGCGCTACTGTATTATTATAACGGGGTTTCGATTTTTGTAATGTTTGTAGTCTTTATTGTTATTCCGAATTTATCAAACACAGACGTTATCATTTTCAATTTTGGTTCTTTTTTCAATAATACAGTTTAATGGGAAAATATTAATCCGGCCAAGGATAAAACGTTACATTAAGTTTCTGTCACTTCATCGGGCAAAAGATTAGGGGAGACCTAGGTGAGTTGTGACATAGGTGAGTTGTGACAAGGAGGATTTCTCTCTACCTATTATAGTAAGCGAGATGGCATTAACGCTTGTTTGTCGTTCTCGACACGCGCTATACGACTCAGTACCTGTCGACGGTGCATATGGCACAGTTGCGTAAATATATCGTCAGTGTACAAAAAATTGCGAAAAGTAAGTTTTTCTTCAAAATATTATTTGAATATATATCATATCTTAGTATATGTGCATTGATGTGTTATTTTTTCTTAAGTTATGTAGTTATTTAAGTCTCAATACGTGGCACTGATTTTTTGTATGCGCATCGTGTTTAGAAAATATGAATTATTATTCGGACCAAGACGTCATTTTGAACACCTAGGCGAGTTGTGACAGCCTGTCACAACTCTCCTATCTTACTCCATATTTCTGCTGGGCTATTTTTACAATTTTTTTTATTAACTTTAGATGTTTGTTAGTGTGTTAGTAGCTACTTAAGGTGTATAATGGCATACCGCAAACTTATTTTTTTTGAGAATGCCAAATAACTATACAGAGACTGAAAATCTAAGAATGTTAAGAAGCGTGTCTTAAGCGAAGAAAAAAAAAGAAACCTAAATAACCAAAGAAGTCTAATAAGAACTAATAAGAATAATTGCTTTTATTTGGTTTGTCTTAAAGCCTATGCAGACAGCAGATCGAATGATCAGTGGGTCCAAAGCCTTGAATGCAAAGGCTAGGCACACGTAGATTGTACTGGGGACGAGCTGCATTACGTTTGGCATAATTGTGAATCAGATTAGATTAAGATTTTATATTAATTATAACAATAATATGATTGATCTCAAAGCGATACCATATTTAGTTAATGAAAATACAATATTATAATTACTTGTTATGAGAATATTAATACTATGTTGTTTTAGTTGGTAGGTATTAAAAGATGATTAATCAAGTCAAATTAAATCAATCTTTATTGTTGATCGCAGGTTATATAAAGATATTGGATGCAAGGACTGAATAGTTACACCGTGATCTGCCAAAAAGGCATACAATATTAGTAGGTTAGTAATTGTCAACTAATCTAATCAATAACATGTTATGTCAAAAATTCAATTAATTCATAACGTGTTTATACATTTACAAAGTACTGTCAGCTAGATAGTCGTTTACACTATAATATGCTTTAGCTACTAATAATTTACAAAGTTTTTTTAAAAACATTACAATTATCCAGATTACGTATTGTTTTTGGAATTTTATCAAAAATTTTTGGAGCCATACAAAAGATACTTTTGTGCAACAGAGTTGTCTTAGAGGGTATCGTACACAATTTGTCTCGATGACGCGATCTCGTCTTATTTTCAAATAGTTGATGGCAGGGTCATAATATTTAGTTTAATAAAATATGGCCTACAGGTATCCGAACTCTGTAAATGACATATGCTCCTAACACATTTTTTCTGGGCTCTAAAGGCAGTTACAGAATCAGTCGAATATCCCCAAAATATAATGCCGTATCGAACAGTTGAAACTACGTACGCGTGATAAGCTGTAAGGACCGTGTATTGATTCGCGATCCTACTAAGTTTGTACAGTACACAAGAATACTGGGACAACTTTTTGCAAACATGTTCAGTGTGTGTTTTCCAAGTCAAATTTATTCTTATAGTACTGATTAAAGTACTGATTTGATAAAAAAAAGTGCTTGATTTATTTATGTCGTATGTAATGGTATTTTTATATCTTATAGCTTAAATACAATGATGTCACAACTTACCTCGGTACCTGTCACAACTTACTTCGGTGGTAGGAGAGTTGTGACAAGGGGAGTGGACTTGAATTTTGTTATTTTTTTCAGAAACTATTATACTTTAATTAATTTTAGTGATGGTTTTGAAAACAGAAGGAATGGCGCTAAACTAATTCACATGAGTCATAACTGTGGAATGTTTCTTAAGCGAGATAGAGCCCCTTATGTAAAAATTGTCACAACTCTCCTAGGTCTCCCTAATATATGAATTACTGATACTTTAACACTTAACCGAGGGATGTCAAATAATGTTTGCTTATTTTGTTTGATTTAACTATACGTGACATATTCACTTACTAGAAATGCCAATAGTGTAAGAAAATCGAACATCAAATATTGTATTTAAAGTAATTTTTTCAATGAATAATAATTAAACTATGGAGAAATGTGTAAAAAAAACTATTCACATGATAAAAGATTTTAATTAATAGTAGCATACATACGCGAAATAAACATAAAAATTATCGTTAGGTCCGCAAACTCGACAATAACGTTTTTGTTAAATTCCACGCGGGTGAAGTCGCGGGCACAGCTAGCAGTATTTATGATTTATTTATACAGGTATTATACGGCAGCATCAACCTCGTTGCCTCCAATCTGAAAAATATTAAATATAATGTTACTACGACACGATACCACAGAACACGGAAAACGATACAGACGAAGTATAAATTGTACTGTTTTGGTATCAAAAAAATGATAAAATTATGCAATGTTTATTAGGTTATTTTAGGTGTATTGTATTGGAAAGTGAGTTGATATTTTAATGAAGTCATTTCTTGACGCTCTGTATGAAATAAAACAGGGTGAAAAAAGAAGATTTACGAACCAATGGCGTAGCTCTCGACTTTCACAAGTGCTTGAACAGTCTAGACTGAATAGATAATTTTGGTTTTGATTTTTGATTATCTATAAAGCTTCTCTGTGCTTCGGAAGCCACGTTAAGCCATTGGTCCCTGCTGCTTCTGCATTCGTTAACACTCTTCAATTTGCACCGAGCACGCGTGGTAAGTCACGACCTTATATACTGGGGCCATGGGCCAAGGTCCGTTCTCCTTATTCAGTTCGATAACATCCATATTGAGGGATTGTATCACAGTCTACATAGGTGAAGTAAAACTGATAGCCAACTAAGCCAACATATTTAAATTTATGTAACGTTTAAAATTAAAATCGCTTTTGGATCGACTAACGAATTAAATGTTCAAGAAACATAATAAAAATATAATTAAAGTGATATTTATATGTAACACTTGCAAATTCCAATTAACATATTTTAAAACACTGTCGTAAAGTTAGTGAATATCTTTCAAATGTCAAATTGGAAGGGATTGCGATATATTAAAATAAGTCCTGTAGAGATTAGGCCCCTGAATAAATAAAGAAAAAATTGAAAGAGTTGAGTTGATACTACCAAATTATAATGTAGCCTATCTATGTATGTGTGTTTTTTGTTCTTACTGTGTGTTGTCTTACGTACCGGAACTGTTACTCGACAAAAAGTTCCTGACCGGAAAAGAGCAAATACATTCTCTACGAATTCCTTGATGGAGGCCTTGGGGCATTCGGTTAAGAGATTCAATGCACAGGTCGTCATTTCATCATACTTATAGCACATTTGCTGAAATAAATTTTTCATAGTTTTAAACCAATAATCTATAAGATGATGCAGCCTATTAATGAGCACCTTTATGCCGAAAATAGTTCATGCTAACTACTTAATTTTTTATTTTGCCTGCAGATAATGTAATACGCTTCATACGCCAAGAAAAATGCAGTAGGTAACTTTATCAACTTGAAGAAATTAGTCTCGGGCAGGATCCGAACCTGCATCTACTGTCACGCCAAACCTCCCCTTAGCCAAAACTCTAGGTCGCACTTTCTCTTTCTCATTCCATAGCTGTCATGAAGAACGTCACAGGCGATTCGAATGCCTTTATATATAAAGGTTCTGTGTATATTTTATATATAGACCATGTCAAATAAGGGCATTTTTTCACTAAGTGAATCAGCGTTGTTTTATAGTCATGCCATTTTCCCTATAATGTTTCTATTCATAGCAAAGACCTACTATGGAGATATTTCAAGGCAGACATTTATGATTCTTTATATATTTACGTTCTTTAGAATGACGTCTTTCTGATATATCTACAGACTGTCAAAAATGTGATATGAAATACAAAAATGGAAACCGATTTCCGACCTTACACAAAGAAATTGGTCACGCACGAATGTTGAAATATAATTAAAACTGGCGAAAACTTATGAAATCTTTGCATTTTGCGGTAATAAATAACAGACGTTAATAATAACCTTAACCCATATTAAAATATGCCTTCTGATACTTGTCTTCTCTGCCTACAACCACGCAGGGGATTTACACGAAGACGTAGAAAAATAGAGTAGTTTAAATATAAAGTCAAACTTACGATAGCTTGAAAACTTTTTGTATCATCCGGCATGTTCATGACAAGATCCATCATTTTTGACGTGCATTGGTCGAACGCGATAGTTCTGTTTTCCATGCATTCCACAGCACCATCGTCAATGATATCTAGTTACGAAATTCATTATTTCAACCTATTTTAATACTGTTTATTCTTTAAAAGCTTAAGGTATGCATTTACTGCATTTTTGCCTCAATTCACCCGTTTTCGTGATTTAATTTAATTTAGTATTTTATATGAGCGCAGTGGGGCAACACTTTAATTTTTATGTATGGTTTGTATCTCAGTGTATTTTATCATTGGTTTATATTAAAAATTATTGCGCCACTGCGCTCATATACAAATATTCAATGAAATAGAAACGGAGTGAATTTTGGCCGATGACAAATTATAATGAAAAATTTAAAATACATAAGTTCTCACATATTTAAATACATAGCGGTGGTCAACCTGATATTAAAGTAACCATTGGGGACCTTTTACGGCAGGACAAGCCCCTCATGGACCCCCATCCTTTGTATATTATCTTGGTTCTCGGTGTTATCGTACCATCTCTGTTTTATGAATACCATAACACAAGAAGTTTGGTTACTCCGTTTTTGATCCATTACGTGTCATTTTCAAACAACGAAGTCGGTGATGGAAATCTAGATTGACTTACGTCGTACTTGTGCCATATCGTCGTCGCAGAACATTGAGAAAAGACTTCTGATTGCAATCTTCATATCACCGATTTGTGCCTGCGTGGCCTCTGAGGTGCATGGTGCTAAATATTCTATTAATTCCTGACCACATGTACGTACACGTTCGCGGATCGAACAAAACCTGGAACATTAACAACTTCATTCGAACCGAAAGCCTTCTATGATACAAGTTGTTGAGTATTTAAATTGTGGCAAATTCTGCTGTCAATATTTTTATCTTCATTTCCATGTGAGCTTATTTATTGTTTAATGAACTTCAAATTACGTTAAAATATGCACATGTAAATAATAACTAAAAACAAACTCACTCATTTAATTGAATCAATGCCTTTTCCCTGAGGGTAGCATTTGCCGGTATTACGTCTTGCGGAGTTACATTGCGGTCTACGACGTCAGATAAACAGTAAATAGCTCCCATTGCCAGCCCCTGGACAAAAATACTATTTTTTTAAAGAAATGTAAAAAATAATACTATATACAGTTGTTTAATAAGGACCCAGACAGATTACCCAACTAGCAAAATTGTCTTGGATTAAATTACATATATGAATAGCATTATAAATAGTTTAAATAGTAAGTATCGAGATTAAGAACAAACATCTTATAAAGGCATACAAAGAGACGTTACGAACTTAAAGACTATGTAAACTTTTAAGGAGAATAGGGATAACATATTTAAAATAACCTTATAAAATATTCATAAGTATCAAAGTTATTTAGATGCATAATAGAAGACTGTAGTACACTTGTCGTCCAATTTCATACTTAAAAGTGAAACTTATAAGGTTGTTTGTTCTTTATGGAAACTTAAGTAAGTATAATATTTGAGTACTGCTCTTACTAAGGCATGGCATACGACAACATCTAATAAAACATTTTTTAATAGATAGAACCAACTTCAAACATTGAAAAATTTAAAAAAAAGTAAAAAAAATATAAGAGCGGTAAAATTTTTAAGAAACATTAAAGTCGGGCTAAGTAAACGCTTAAAAGGCAATTTAGTATTAAAGAAGCATTAGACAAATAGTAGTAAGATTGAAAACAGGCTTTTCGAGACCTTAAAAAAAGTATCCTTACAAAGTGAGCCCAAATTGACACAACCTTTTGTAAGTATAAAATATAGAATATAAAATATTATAAAATATAAGAGTAATAAAATATTGACTTAGGATATTTGTAAGAACAAATTTTGCTTGTTGTTTGGCGTTACTAAAATAAAAATACCAAAATTTGATCCTTTTGAGTGGTAGGCAAGTGGTTGCAAGAATCATCTATAGCATCTCTAACACGATCTCTTTTCTGTCCTTGAATTTTATAGGGACCCGCCAATACACCTGTAAGAGGTACATTATTTTATTTTCTTGGCTGTTTGTAACTGCATTATTAAAGAAATGAAGTATCTATCGGTTTTTCCAATTAGCAACCTATTTAAAACTTAATTGAATCAACCCTTAACATGACAACAACAAAATTTAAGTTGCTGTAATTAAAAACAAATAAAGATTATAATGTTCGATCAATATTGCATTCACAATGTTATACTGGAATATACTGGTGCATTTTCCATTAAGAATAAATGAAAAATATTAAAAACTTACCGACAGTTAAAACCGCAAAGAAAAATAATGTTTTCTCCATCATTTTCAATGTATCAGCCAGAATAACTAAGACTCGTATTAAAACTGACTTATAATAAATAAGGTGATTCGAATAACATAATAAGATAGCCTTATTAACCTTTAGTGGTTATATTTAGTATCAAAAATAAACATGCAATGATAATAATTCAAAATTACCGATAGGTACTCCTGGCAGATCTGGGTCTGTGTTACCAATTGAACTGTTGTATTCTTAATACAAAATGCTTAAAAAATCGAATTTCGAACCCATGACCTTTTGAACAAATTGTCATCTTTATCGAAAGTTTCAATATTTGTAATAATATTACTTTCGGCTGTTCGGGTGGATGCCTGAACATTGATGAGAATACGCTCTGTAGTAGCGAAAAGTAACAAGTGCTTGGAAGATTCGTCAGTCCTGTTAGGTCCTAGGTAGCTCAGCGGTTAGTGCGATTGCGAAAGGTCATGTGTTCGAATCCCATCTCAGGGTGCCAGGGACCAAGTGGATTTTGTATTAAGAATATCTTTCAGTATACCATTCTGAATGCGAAAATGGACCAAATTAAACTATTGGCCCCAACTTTGTTCTTATTGATTTTGGCATTAACATTTTCATTCTTATGAAAATTGAAATATTTCTTTCACCTGTTTGGGTGTATGACCTGAACAGCAATGAAAATACGATCACTAATAGCGAAAGTGTGAAAGAAACGTGTGCTTGAGAAATTCGTCATCGTCAGTCCTGCTGGGTCTCGGTTAGCTCGGATTGCGAAAGATTGTACCATCTCAAGGTACCTTGAACTGGTGAATTTATTAAGATAAATAATGTTACAGTATCAAATTCATTCATATTTATACAGAAATATATACAGCGTGTTTGGTAATACCTGTATAATCCCGAAACATGGCCATACAACCTAGCACAAAGAACACAATTGATAAGTCAAAAAACAATTTCATGTAAATTGATATTTTCATACAAATATTTGAACTATTTGTTTTCAATTACTATGCTACAACCCTGTAAGCTTATACGTGCCGTCCCGGCGCACTCGCTCTTTCTCTCTCTCCCTCTCTCATTACCTCTCACTCTCTCGTTTCCTGAATACATTTTGATGTTGCCGACGCGCGCACTCGACTACGTATGAGTTTACTTGTAATTAAAACAATTTAAGATTAAATAGGTACATACCTATAGCGTTCTAGATCACTCTTTCAGCTTTCACTTGTCAACATTACCTAACACTTCACCTCCACTTTATCAGTCCAGGGTCTCGATATGCCGGCCACCGCATAAAACACACATCTCCATTCGACTCGACACAGACCGTGTCGTGTTACTCTCGACGTAAAGTCATATCCTCTGTCTCGATGGAATAGGTGATCGGCCGGCCTACCTGTGGCACACTATGGAATGAACCAGTTGTATGTAACCAATTCACAAATGCCGCGAATCACCGGTAAGAAGGAAGACGTCGATGGTTTTTAGGTCTTCCTGACACGTGGCGCTCGTCATAACGCCGCCGAGCCGCAGCAAGATTACCGTCACAAGCACCGCCACACATTATCATCTCGTAATATTAGGCATTTGTGTACGAATTCATTGCACTGACCGCACACAAACATAATACACAGGTAAACAGAACGAGAATGAAAAACAAACTAAAAGTCCCGAAAGAACGAAAACGTAAGTGACCTTCTAAATTCTGAAAACTCACAAGTACGCCGATGAAAGTCACGGACGCGACTGACGCGATGACCAAAACTACATAGGTTATTATTATTGCAACTCGAACACCAATGTACCTAAATCAAAAGTGTACCGATTTTGGGGTTCCGCGTCAAGAAATATTATTTATTATTAGACCTTTCAATTACAACTAACCTTTATTTAATTATCATTTAAACTAAGAATAAGAGAGATACTTAGATTATTAATATCATTGTATAAGTCCGTATTTTATTGTTTCGTGAAAATAACACGGCTTTATGAAAAAAATAACAAAACTTCAAAGCAAATAATCTACAGAACCTTACTCACACATCAGAAACCCGAGTTTCTCAATACACATCGTCGTCGATTTTATGTCTCTCTTGCTCCTTCTTGCATAGACTAATGTGAGCAATGGTGCAGATAGATATTGAACTTCAATCAAAGTATTTGCAATTTCTTTTTTATTTTGACTGCATTATTACAGAAGTTTTCATATTAATAGTTTTTGAAACACCGTTAATCACAAAATTAGTGTTTTTTTATAGTTAAAATCATTTACTACTAACTTTTTCTTTGTTTGGAAATAATAAATTCCTCTCAGATGCATATTTATTCTAGGCATTTATCTTTAGATTTATTTAACTTCTGTTATTTTTTAAACTAGTTCGGCACATGGAGTCGATGACCAAATACAACACAACAGCTGTTTTTAGGGTTGTCAGCGTACGGTTTAACTTGAAGAAAAAATGCTGAATATCTAGGTCATGTGCTGGGTTTCAGTCTTAGTGATCATTTTTCTGGGTTCTATTCATCATAACCGTATGTGCCATATTCGGGATTATACAGGTATTACCAAACACGCTGTATATACTCAAATTGATAGAAAATTCACCAGCATAATTCAAACAATACGTCGAGCTACGTACGTCAATTTATATTTCATCAATTTTGGTTTTCAAGTTTCTGCACGAAATAGCAACAGTTGTGTAATAATGCAAACTAGCGCAGGCCTGTCCTTTTGAGTATACAATCAAAAATAAAACATAGTATTATATGTATCGAATATAACACTTAATTTCATAAAAAGTTTTTAATTTGAAGGATTGTCACCCATTTATTGGCAGTGCATGATATTCGCCGTTTGTCAGTTTCTCTGTCAGGGTTAAGTAGATATACTAATAGATCTACTAGCGCGTGTCTTCTTAAAATTTAATCTTCTCGTATAGCGATCTTTATATAACGATAACCAAGCCATATTCGTTTATCTGTTTACTATACTTTTTCGAATACTATGGATTATTATCTAACACTGTGTAGGTACAACGAGCAAAAATCGTGAAAACCTTTAATGTTAAATTCTTCAAAATGCGGAATTTTCAACTACAGCATTTTTCAATAGGATATAGGATATAGGAGTGTTTTAGGGCTACTATTCTGTGTCATTGCAGGAATTGGACAATGTATGTCTCAGCACTTTCTCGTGAAATTTTACATACCATAATAATGTTTCACTTTTTACTAATGTATAGCTAGAGCGTCAATACCATTTTTATAAGTGCAAACTACAGTCCATAAATATGATTTATGATAAATGATAACGAACTATTTATTTATTTATTTAAAACTTTATAGCAATAACAGCAAATGCGGACTTAATTCCAAGGGAATTCTCTACCAGTCTACCAGACAGGATGTAGGAGCAAAAAAAACTATATTCTTCAACGAAGTATAATTATATTGTTTTTAATCCAAAGGGTCTAACTCTGTTTTCCCATTAACAAAAAGTCGAAATTGCGAAAAAAAAGTTCTAATAATTTTGTTAAAATCATACACGTGAAGATTATCGGTTCATCAGACGTTGACCCAGATTCTACATTCGCTGTATCATAATTTATCCTTAATTGAGATTCTTTTTAGAGTCGTATTAGTGTTTTGAAATTAGCTGTTTTCTTTTCTTAAAAACAGAGGCCTTATTGTATAATTTTTAAAGGAGAATGGGCAATTTACTATGAGACATCGGCTATTTTTGCGTAACCGTGCACATTGTTGAAACCAACAGTAAACGATAGAGAATTATTTCTAGAATGAGTAGGAAAAAAACCATTTTCAAATTATGCCGGAGTTTGAGAATATCTGAATATTTAACAGAGAATTTGAGGTTATGTCGTTATAATATCTACGTATATAAGAGCAATAAAATGAATAATGTGTTTCAAACAATCGATGACTAACAGATATAAATATTTAATTGCGAATAAGAACATAAAACTAATGGAAATATTGGATTTTTTATTGTAAAGTATAAACTCAAAAACTACTGGGCCGATTAAAAACTAGTCTTTGCCTACTATAATACCTGACCAACATTATCAGAGTTAAAATACTTCATTTTGTAAAAGTAGTGGTATGAAGTTCACGTGTCAAGTCGATTAATAACTTGAAACTCAGTAGGTAGTCGTAGTTATATTGTAGTAGGTAGGTATATATTCGCCGCTAAAGAAAATGTTATAACGAATGTCACTAACAATCTTAATTTAAGATATTTAGGTATTTATTTAATGGAATCTTGTTATATTTATCTATAACACCGCTTAAACACGCATGTTTCTTTCTCCGTGAAAACTTATCCTTATCCTAATGCCTATACGAATAAACGAAGCCTATTATTTGGGATTAGTGACGAACGTTAACTTCGCCGAGCGTTGGTTCAGTCTGCACCCGTCATATTCAGACGCGCCACCCGGCCGATTGCATTAATTTGCCTCCTATCATTTGCTATGAAATAGCGTACATACCTTTATTTATGCTCAAAAGAAAACCGAAAGAAGCACAGACTAAGAAGAAGCTACTTCGTGAAGAAATATCTTAGATAGTAATTAAAAAATCATGTTTTTTTTCGACACGTAGATTAATCCTTTAGTTTTCTATAATCGATAAGGCGATCAGCCTTATCGAGTCTATTGTTGCATGGTTGACATTTATCCAAGGCCATATCATGAGTCTTAATTAGTCAGTTTAGCAACTGTTTCAATACGGTTTATTTTAAACGCCGCATAATTTTATAAAAGAATTTATATAGAATCAATTATAATTAAAAAGAAGACTTTTGATAAATAAATGCATAGTGCGCAATTTGCGTAATTTAGGCCGACTTCTGCCCATTCTCCTTTATCGTAATTCCTTTCAACTTGTCATTTAAAAGATAATCACGAACTTCATGCTACAAGTATTTGACATGTGCTAGCGATTGCGAGCGTGATGTTTTTTGAAAGATACTGAATTAACGAAATTTGATAATTTAACGTTAATTAGAATAATCTCAAGCAAGCGTTAACGTTAACGTTAGTTTGAGTTTTTTTTATTCTCTTTTGGTTATTCATATCACATTACATGATTTCTAAAATTGCTATTGCAATCACTTTTCCTTTAAAAAGGATCGCGATAGCTTTTAAAATTAGTTAATTAGATTGCTGAGTAGGACTTCTGGTGTCGTGTTACCTTCATAGTTGTCTATGTTGGAAATTGAACATGTTGTCTTTGTCTATGTTAGAAGTTGAAAAATATTAGACAAAATTAACGACAATCGTTCATTTTGTCTAATATTTTTCTATATTCATGTAACCTTATTGTTATTAGTTGTAAGGTGCAGATTTTTCATCGGTATTCTGTGCGTTACATGTTACTCTCGTGTTAATAATGTTAATGTTAATGCTAATGTTAATTTTTATAGAAATCAAGCAAATCACAATTAAGTGAATGCGTTTTGTATTTATAAAATATTGTAACATTAAATATTTTAGTGTTATTGATTGTATAATTAAGTTGTGATGAGTATGAATCTAGCACCAATAGATAAACTTGTGAAGGCGAACTTAGTCTGTGATAAAGTGATATGTAATGCATGGTAGGTGTAAAATATTGTACTAATTTTATACATTGTATTATATTATGAAATAAAGATATTTGAAAAAAAAAAAAACTCTTGTGTTAATAGATAGAACGGGATTGAAATTGTTTTGCTCGAAAACGTTACATCATGTCCCTGGGGTGCGACTTTATTACTCTCTAGGCATAGAATACGAAATCATAGCTAATAAAGCTACTGTGACTAATTTTAAAATGATAGTTTTTACGGGATTGCTACAATGTACCTTATTATCATCGAGGTCTCAATATTTCGGCGCATTTGCAAGCGAGCGCAATGATATAGTGAAATATAAATAAATAATATTAGCCGAGCGCCGAAATATAGAGTACTCAATAAAAACAAGGTACACGGTAGCAATCGCGTAAATTACTATGAAAGCTTAAAACAATATATAGACCAAATTTAGTTTTTAAACTTGTCAAACAGCATTTTTGTTTCAGTAAATAACTAAAATAATAATAGAAGTGAACTTATATATTAGTAAACACTAGCTTTCCGCCAGTGGCTTTGCCCGCGTGGTCCTTAGGGAACTATTTAGTGAGATAAAAAGTATCCTTTTATCGAAGTCAGCTAATACTCTATCTGTATATCAAATCTCATAAAAATCGGTTCAGTAGTTTCGGCGTCATTGACAGACAAACTAAACAAAGAAAATTTCACATTCATAATATTAATAGGATGTATAAGTGTAATCGTTATGGGCTCCGTTGAAATATAAAGATGTAGTTATAATTATATTTCTTTACTGGCTGTGCCCGCAACTATAATTATATTTCGGGGAAAACAATTCAAAAAAATTCGGGGAAAAAAAATATTGTCGCGGGAAAACAACTAGTTCATTATACCTTGTGAAAACTTATCTGCGGTACGCCTGTAAGGCAACACGGGTTGGCGATAATCGAAATTACTTTCTCGATCTCTATTTTGCAAACTGCGAGCTCATTTAGAGACCAAGCGCATTTCTCTATCAAAGGAAGTTTCATACTCATACCATACTGCATGTATGTTACGATCAGCAGTTAGACGAGCTATGCGATCTTCAGAAGTTTCCTGAGATCAGACACTTGTTGTGTGAGTTCTCTGAGAGCTCAAGAGATTATTCCTGACGGTAAATGCTTCAGATTCAACTTTATAGTGCATGAGTCGATGGGTAGTTAAATACGCTTCGTACGTACGCTTGTCTTTACGTTATTAACTTCAGTTGACGTGAATCTAACTTTTTTAACGTCGTGGAAAAGCTTCTGACATTATCTCTGCTACGTGGCAGGGGGTGAGTAGGATTCTCCTCCGTGAACCTGATAGTGAGCTGCCCAGTGGGTCCCCAGAGGTCTACCCACCAAAACCCGTACGCTACACCATCTCATGGGAGATGAAACCTGGTAAGCTGTGGCCGCGTCACCATAACACAGTACCATAAACATAGTATTGGACCATTAGTCCCCTTACAGATGAAAAATTGGAGAGGCTCGGATAAATCGATTGCCTCTCCCAGATAGACAAAACCGTGCAATGCGGGGGCTGCTAACCACCTCCGCTGGCCCCGACGACGACGTAAACCTAATCTGATAAAAATATGCGTTCACTGTAAACTACTCGATGCATCATCGGAAGGCTCTTTTCGCTTGTTCTCCTACTCGCGTGATCGTATACCACACGTACATTATAAGCTGAACCCTATTTAATATCATTGGCCATTTATAAATAAGGTCAACTTACTTTGGAAAGGTCAAAATTTTGTAATCTTATTTTTTTTATTTTTCATCATACATATTATCATTTTATAAACAATATTGGTTCGTAGCTCGGTGGTGCTACAGATAAGCGCCGCTGCGCACGATCGATATTGCTAAGCAATTTTCGCAAGAGTTGTTCACGGGATGGGTGACCAATAAATATTAAACAAAGGCCTGAGGCCCTGCAGTTTGGTGGTGAAAGAGTTAATGATAATAATCAATATATCAAAGACGAAAATTTAATAAAACAGTTAATATTTCACGGCAATTTTGACGAACACATCACTTCAAATTGACATAACTTTTTTATTTATGAACTGATTAAAATAAACCTTACACTAAATGTTAACGGAAGAATACCGCAATTAATAGTGAAAACTGCATTTAAATCGGTTCATTCGTTTCTGAGATTATCGTGCACAAACGCACAGACAAACAGACAAAAAAACATCATTGTTTTGTGTTCTATTACGCTTATAAATGTCCCTCATAACAGTTTTTTTCATATATCTTCAATGTACAGACATCGATCGGTTACGTTTTTATTATAGTAATAGATTTACATATGACTATTTCAAATTATTTCTTTTTATCCCAAATAATTTGGTAGTAAGTAAAAATGTACATTAATTTAATAATGACCAGCCGTGTCCCCGCGTCTTCGCCTGCGTAAATTATAAGTCTTACACTCACGTATGATGTAGCTCCTATATGTGAAAGAATTTTAAAACCAGTCAAAGACCGGCAGTAAAGTCGCAAGCACAGCTAGTTAAATTATAATAAGTAGCAGGCAACGGCTAGTGGATTATGAAACATTCACAGAAAGCAAAACAACTTGCAACCTCTGTTATGTAGAATTGTTTACCTGGATTATGAAACATTCACAGAAAGCAAAACAACTTGCAACCTCTGTTATGTAGAATTGTTTACCTGCGATAAGAACATCAGCTGTTATTTTAGTAGATAATTAAAAACAAATGAAAAGGTTATCACTGGTATATTTATGAGTTATATTTCATGTAGGTATTAATTATATGGTAGAATCTACCTCGTTACCTCCAACCTGAAAAATATCATAAAAACAATTTAACACAGGAAAAACAACAATAATAAAATAACAACCGTAAAATATATCAACCACTTTTCGTGCAGTAATTAAATAAATTAAATTAAGTATAATTTGAAACTTTAGTATAATTTCAATTTATGAAGTGTTTAATGTATATAATACATATAAATCAATATAAAACGAGTCTTCTCTCAGTCACTTATTGAGAATCTTTGTTTCCTTATTATCTGTTGGACATTGTATATTACATACGAAAATTTTCTCAATAGCAAAATTTGTACATAGTTTAATAACATTCAACAACCATAAGAAAGGTGCAATAATTTTTTTGTCATGATAGTTATTTTGTGAATCCAATAGAACAAAAACTATTTCCTTAGCAAGTATAAATTTATCCACTAATGAATAAAACGCTCGAAATATTTATAAGTTACTCAAAATTTCAGTCAACTACTACAGTTTCTTATTGCACAACTTTTCTTGTTTTTACTAGATATTATTAAGAGTATTGTAGTTTCCATTGACTTTTCATCTACTGCTGAAAGACCAAAGTTGCATTTATTGTACCAACTTGAACATTTAATAAAGTTTCCCACTAGTCCTCTTATTATTATTTATTCAGTTAGTATAAGTTCATTTTACTATATTCAAAAAGAGGAGACTAATATGTAACTCTTTTCTTTCTAATATGTAATATAATAAATTTACACCTTGCTTTAAATCTTATGTATAGGTATTTTAAAACCTCTTATATAATCTAGGTAATTGTCAAAAAAATCTTATATCATATTTGCATTAACGGTCTCATCTAACATAATTATCCCAACATGTCATTTAGTAGACAAAGGAAAGTAACAGTTATTAAAACTTAACCAACCCTAGTCGACGCAAGAGTCTATTCTATAATTAATTATATCCATTTGCCTTTTAATAACAAATATAAGTTAGTCTGAGTTAGTCTATCTCCTAGAGCGCCAACCTCTTTTTATATAATATCATTGGTGCCAACATATTTTCGCAATATCAACCACATAGCTAAATGAAGCGACATTACAATACAACCTATTTCAATTTTAATCTCTGAAACTAAAAACAAGTTTCACGAAATAAATTACACAAGCACAAGTAAAATCAGTTCCGTAATCTTTTTTTAAATGACCCAAAACGTGACCAAAGTTTCGCGATAAATATTGTGGTGAAATTAGTAGCGTGCTATTCAAAAATATGCGCATCGCACGAAACTACTTTAGTATCGTGAAACTAATGGATGCTTTATGTAAAAGTTTACACGTGCTACTGTTAGCGAAATTAGCAAAGAAACTTATAAATATCATCATTCTACGTCCCCCATGCAAAGGCTCCGGCCTACCTTGTGGATGGTTAAGGAGAATGAGTCATAACCCTCCACGCTAACTCAATTCGGTTTGGAGGGTATTAAAGACTGCAAATGCAGCCGGGACCAACAGTCTAACATTCCTTCCGAAGCACAGAGTAGCTCAAGATAATATTTTTTTGGTCACCCATCCCGTGACCGACCTCTGTGAAAGTTGCTTAACAACGACGTTCTCGTGTCGCAGCGCTTTTCCACTACGCCATCGAGCTACTACAATCAAATTTGTTTCATGCTATTGTTTTCGTAATGTAAATTAATAACACACATTTAACATACATACCGGAACTGTAACTCTGCAATAAGTTCCCGAACGGAAAAGAGAAAATATGTTCTCCATGAATTCTCTGGTTGAAGGTTTGGGACATTCATTCAGGATATTCATTGAACAAGACACCATTTGATCATACTTGTGGCACATTTCCTGAAAACATATATTATATCGCAAAGTTTACGGGTTTGCCTTAATTATAAAGAAGAGATTTCTCCGTAATGTATATAGAATAAACGCCTAAGCAAGTAAATATTCTCCAACAAACCCTAAATAGACAGTCATGAATATGAATTTAAAATTGAAGGGTGTCTCCAGAAACTGCATATAATTTAGAAGCAGTAATTTATTTCACAAAATATTATAACTCTTCAAAGTATGTTCTATTTATTATTTAAAAAAAATGGAAATGAGCCCATAATCTCGAGGTCAATTCTTTTTGATAGTTGGTAACTCTAACAGTGGATGTGGTATTGTATGACGATTTACCATTTCATGTTCCCTTTTTACATCTGATGCTATCATAAATTTGCATGGATCTTGAAAAAATAATCAGTATAAAACTCACGATAGCTTCAAAAGTTTTTGATTCGATTGGCATGTTTGTGACGAGGTCCACCATATTTGCTGTACAATTATCCAGCCGTGTATTTTTGTCCTCTATACATGCAACGGCTCCATCGTTAAGAAAACCTGGTAAAGATATTCTTTCATTTATAAGTAGGCACTAGATACTTTATTCTATACAATGTTGAGTTAATAAAAGATGGTCATCTCTTGCAGAAGTGAGACAAAATCGAAATTAACAAACTATTCCCAAATAACTTTACATACAACTTTTAGATTTTCGTTAAGATATGGATGCACCCTTTTACAATTTTTGGAGAGACAAAGATAAAGCAAATAGAAAATGTCCTAGTGAACATGTGATAAAAATCTCTGTAACATTTATATAGAATAAATTAGTCAAAGTATGAAAACAGTGAAAATGGAGTAAGTTGTGTCATGTGTGTGAACAATTTGTCTCTAGATATTAGAAAATCAAAAAGAAAGACCAAAAATCAGATGACATTTTTTGGCAAAGCTTAATGATATATCTATAGATTTACTTACGTCGTACTTGGGCCATATCATCATCACAAAATGTTGAGAACAGACTTGTGACAGCAGTCTTCATATCTCCGATGTGGGCTTGTATAGTCGGTGAGTTGCATGGTGCCAAATATTCAATTAATTGCTGGGCGCATGTACGTAGACGCGTACGAATCGAGCAAATCCTGATATATTTATAAATAACAAAAACAAATCAGTAAGGGTTAGACAGATTAAGTGAATACAGTTTATTCTCGGTTTGTTCTTGTATTTTTGGATTGCCCTCACTCAGAGCGTTAGATTTTACAAATTGTTATGTTAGCTTCAAAAATTTGCAAACCTAAATATTCAATACTCATTTCAGTTTAATACCCTCTCGCATACTAATAAAAAGGTCTGGACTGGCAGACAATAATTTTGTTTTCTTTTTTTCCTTTTAAAAAGGAACCCTGGAACGCAAAATTATAAAATATTAAAGATACAAACTCACTGTCCAAGATAGAATAAAATATTTTCGTTCAAAGTAGCGTTTGCTGGTAGATTTGGCTGTGCAGCAACACTGTCGTCTACGGACTCATACAAGCAGAGAATGGCTCCCATTGCCATATCCTGAAGAACAAGAGAAAACAATAATTAAAAATATAAAACTTTTATACAGTACAAATTATAATTGACGACGAATTGCTAACCGATCTACATTTTCTTTTTATTTGATCGGCAAACATGGTGCCAACTGTAATCTTAACACTTAAAAATGTAGATACTTTTTTAATTTCCTATAGTGCTATTAAAAAACAAGGCTTAGTGTCAAATTATATTTACGCTAAAATTGCAATTTTATTATTAGTCCAAATTTATATCATACAGAGAATAAGCAAACCTACTACCTTCTAGGAGTAAATATTACTCCCGTGTAAGTTAACCTAGTCCAAGGTTCTGGACTGGGTTAATCTTTGCTAAGTCTCTGTTTAATAATATGAATTTTGAGCGTAAATTTATTCCAACGCTAAACCTTGTTTATTAATAACACTGCTATAGTTTAAGCTAATTCTAATATAATTACTGCATTGTTTCTTACACGAGTCATATCACTTAAAGAACAATACCGAAATAAGCTCTCTTTGAGTAGTAGGCAATTGGCTGCAAATTTTATCTATTACATTCTCAACGCGATCTTTCTTCTGCCCTTGGAGTTTGTACTGCCCCGCTGATACAGCTGAAAGTGGTTGGAATATTTTAGGTATGGTCGTATCGGTCAGCTATTGTATTTTCTCGGTCTGATATTACATCGTGAGTAGCTGAGTAGTGTGATGGATAAATGCCGCGACTCGCGATTATTGTTCTTAAATATCTTTCCCAAGGACTAGTCACGGGATGGGTGACCAAAAAATATCTCGAGCTACTCCTTGCTTTGGAAGGCACGTTAAGCCGTTCATGCCGATTATATTTGCAGTTTTTAATACCCTTCAATCCACATTGGGCCAGCGTGGAGTAATGAAACGTGCTCCTTAACCATCCACAAGGATGACCAGTAGCACACCAAATTTTTCAGAGTCTCATTACATGATAGTGGTAACAGTAAAAGTATTAGAAAATATTCTTAATGAAAAATTAATAAAAACCCACTTTGTCCCTGATACACTGAGATGGGATTTGTAAATTCCACACCCATACTGTATGCAAAGTCAACTCCTGAAAAAAGTAGCGGATGTAGCGATTGTGGAATTTACCGACCGACCTCTTGTAAATAAATACGCATTGCCGCTTTTGTTTTCTGTATTTACGGGCGATACATATACGTCTTGCTTCTGAAGAAATCTTCCACTAACATCTACTCAATTATAAATACTCGTAGAATTGAAACTTTAATTTTGTTACAGACAAGTAAGTTAGTATTAAATTTCGCGTTAGATGTGGTTCGCGTTATACACGTAACATTAATTTACTTATAGTTTTAATCCATGCTAATAGCTATAAACCTTCAAAATAAATAAATAAAAATAATAAAATTGAATATATTTCATTTTCAAAAACGACATCCCATCATTCACATCTACCGTTTTGCACCGGTTTAGAACTAAAATTGCAGCTGATTATAAAGTAATAAAATAGTGTAAATAACTAAATAATAATGACAAAAATAAATGCTTACCTATGGTTAAAGTAGCAAGGACCAATAATGTTTTCCACATCATTTTTAAACGAAGTATTCAGTCGGAATATCTTAGACTCCTACCGAAACTGTTACTTATAATAACTAAGGTGTTCCAGTCACATGATAAGATAACCTTATGAACTTTAAGAGCAAAATATACATTTACTAACGAAAACAAAATCTCTTATATATAGTGATAATTTTTCTAAACTATTAAATTTGTAATTTAGGAAAATACTAAACAAATTAAAATGTCGAGAAGAAATAAGATACTAAAGCCCTGGATTACTCCTAGGCTATTACGTTGTATTAAAAATAAAGACCGACACATATGAAATCGAAGTTATGGCCGGACAATCTGATACTCAAAACGACATATAAGCGTTATAGAAATTTTTGCAACACATTGCTGAAAAAAACAAAAGGAACGTATGGACGAAATAAATTAAGGGATGCAGAAAATGATAACAAAAAGCTATAGAGATCTATAAAAGATATTACACATACAAACAAAACAGAAAAGTATCCCACAGAACTACTTACTCTATTTGATACTCTGGAAAAATGTCTGGACAAAGTAAATGATTATTTTACCAGTGCTTGCAAATCACTGGATGAAGATTTATTGAAAAGGAACGAGCCTGACGATATGTCAATTAAATGCTCTATAAGTAACCGTTCATGTCTCCATTCTTCATAAAAGGACAGAATGAGTGAATTAGCATACATTATTAGAGCGATCCCTAGTATAGTTTTTCCCCTTAAAGTATTATGTATTCTTTAAACCAAGTCCAAGTAGTCGTTAAAGTACTTACTTGATAAGTATTTGAGTTAAAATGTGTTTTACATAATGACATCCGTTAGCGGCTAATTCTCCTCTTCGGGATTTTACTATAATAAACTTTTGGCATACACAATGTGGTGAAGCCGCTTTAATTGTATCTCTTATTACTAATTTCCTTTTTCTATAAATTTCCCTATGTGTGCACTATTGAAGAAATATAAGTTATGCTTTTGGGGGTTTGCTGTTCTGTATTGCCACCGCGGGCGCTAGGAACCTAAAAAGAAGTTACGTTATATTCGTAATCTCGCCGCTAGTACTGCTTTTGTTTTTTGTCCGCATATATACTTATATTACGAAAAAAAACCAGTTGATAGGTTGCTTGCATTCAAAAAATGTCACCTTAAAAGTAAATTATTTATTTAACATATTTAAGCGCAGTCTAGCGAAAGTATGGTTGTGTACCATAATCTTTTTAAAAATGCCGTCCTGTGTTACGCGGAACTATAGAAGTACATAAGTAAGTCGTCTAAATATTAAGGGGACACATTCTAATTGATTTTCGTTTGAATCAGAAAAATAAATATTGTGTCATAAAAAGAAAGAGTAAATATTCCGGTTACAAATTGTGAAAGTGATCTGTCAAAGACTATGTAAGAAACAGAACGGACAATTCAACTTAAGTGCCCATCTTACATTTATTTGAAAATCTATAAGAGACTGAAACTCCGAAATACCGAAGTTTGAATTCGGAACATCAAAACCAAACTCCGAAAGTGAAAAATACTCCAATTCTAATGAAAGCCCTCGTGTATTATACATATTGTATTTCAGTGTCAGATTTATTTTATAGTTTCAAAAGCTTCATTATTTATACATGGATATATAATATATATACAAATACAGTAATGTTAGACATCTTTAACTCATTTAAGTAAAAGTAGGCATTACACATGCATTAATCGTGTCGTGTCATGTGCGTGTGCGTATGGTGGGAACAATTTTGACATTGTATTAGTACTGACATAACCTATCTATCCTTTTTTTTTTATTTTTTAATATCATTGATTGAGACCTATTGAGTATAAATTAATATAATAAATATAATAATAAAAAATAATAATTATAAATTTATATATACTTTACTCTTTGGTTTATATATATTACAAATACTTTTGTGAGTGGTACCGTAGTCGCTGGTTCAAGTTCTGGTGGCGTAAATAAATCGGCAAGTATTTCGATTGTATATCAAAGGTCTATCAGGTGTACTCTAATGACAATCTTTTTGAAGTTGTTTCTTGTTGGTTTATTTATCTTATATTTATCCGCGGCAGTGATCAGCAAGCGTTATATAAGTACAAGTTTTTAAATTTATGCTTAAATACTATTAAAAAATTATGCGTACCTAAACAGTTATATGTAAATACTAGCTTTCTAGATAGATAATATGGATATGAACGGAATTCTCTTAACGAACTATTTGGTAATTTCAGCTTGTTGTATTTTCCAAGTTAATGATGGCTTTGATAATGAGTCATTGCTTTATTCTCAATGAGTTATTTTAACACTGAGTTACAAAACAGACACCCTAACCTTGGGGATAAGAATCAGATATGTCGTTTTGGTTATTATTTTTAGACTTTAGTTTGCATGTATGGTTCATAAAAAAAGCCTCTATCTCCTGTAAAGATTTAATATGGCGTAAAGACATAGTTATATAAAGATGATGGCTAAGTTGGTAATTAATAGGGAACAAATACCGGTGCGTTAAGTGCAGTCAACTAAATGTTTTGGTATTATTTGATATACCTACTCGACAACTTATACTTTACTCCAACAAATATTTCGAAATGTTCAAATGAACCGCATACCTCACCTTTATATTTATTTCAAAAGGAGATAAAGTCAACAATGACATAGATACGTACACATTCAATGGTATAACATATATATTAATTGTTATACTTAATTTATTATTACTAGGAATATACAAATAAAATTAAAACGCTGACACTAGCATATTGTCGCAATGAGTTATTGTTATATGTCGTATTATTTGGAAGAATAAACCTCATTCCCTCCACCCTGTAAAATATTATATATATTTAAAAAAAAAACATGGCATCAAAAAATGAAAACAATTTTAAAAAGAGATGAAAGTAATATATACTATATCATAAGCGAGTGATGTACTCGAAAATTCTGTAAAAATCTGACGATATATATATCTAATTATATAGGTACATATGCAGAGTCTCTACTTTAAAAACAAGTATTTTTAATATATAACCTACCTTAAAGATATCTTTTTGAAGTATTTTAGTGTTAAGTATATGAAAAATATTTATAAAACTGTTAAAAATATTTCAGATCGGTAAGCAATGTTTTCCTTCATACCCATTAATATTATTGCCTTAAATCTGTTATATTTTGTAACTTCTCGCTATTATCATGATGATTATGTTACGTACCGGAACTGTTACCCGGCAATAAGTTCCCGACCGGAATAGTGTAAAGGTATTCTCCATGAATTCCTTGGTGGAAGGTTTAGGACATTCGCTTAAAATTTTCAATGCGCAGGATGTCATTTGGTCATACTTGAAGCACATTTCCTAAAATATTTTATAAAAATGACAGAATAAAAAACTTGTAATATTTAAACAGTGCAGATTCAACCAATATAAATAAGACATTTTCTATCTATACTTGATAATTCGAGCGCAACCTCTTGTTTAGAAAATTTAACATAAATCACGCTTTCCGTTGCCATGGAATGATCATTTCTTACAAATAAATACTGATAATTCAAATATTCACATAAAGTGATATTAAAAGAACTTGATAGGATAATTAAGATTTCAGATATATAAACATTTTAAATTTTCAGCATATTTGGCTGTATGTAAAACTGTCAATTTTCATTTCTTGTTTAAAAAATATCTAGAGCAGAAGTTGGACCTCCGTCTTTTACCTTTTCACGCATTTGAAATATTTCATATTCTTTTAATAATATTATTTTTTTAATTTTTAACAAATTTATTTAATCAAAATAGTCACCATTATTATCTATCTAATAGGAAGGTCATTTAAGCTTTTGCGATAGAACTCTGTGGATCTAGACTGCACAAACTGTGTGAAAGCATTTTGTACAAAAATTCTTGTCACGAAGATAATTGTCCAAATCACGAATAAAATGTGTAGTCTGTTGGAGCAAAGTCTGGCGAATATGGAGGATGACCAATGATTCCTAACTGCAGTTCCTGAAGGGTCAAAACGGTTTCTCATGCTGTATGGGGTCTCGCGTTGTCATGCAGCAATAATTGTGAAGATCGGTGAGATCGGAGAAAACTATTGTGAATAACAGCCTGCTGAGACCATCTAACAGTTACCATTACCTTTTTATTGGTAAGTTTTGCTTACCAATAAAAAGGTAACACTGTTGTGGCGTTTGACCTGGGGGTCAGCCATTGTATTTTTCTTTTACGGTTAACTTAAAGAATCCACTTTTCATCACATGTTACAATTCGAGCCAATAGTCCTTCATTTCTGTACCGATTCAACAAGGCAACACAAGTTTCAACACACGTTTCTTTCTGCAGATCAGTCAAATCATGAGGCACCCATTTATCGTTTTTTATTTTTTATTTTATTGATTTGACGCAAAATTAGTCAGCATCGTGGGTAAGGTAACGAAAAATCGTGCCGCTAATTCCTGGGTAGTTTGACTAGGATCGGCCTCCACCATCTCTCTTAATTCATCGTTTTCACCTGTGTGGACGGTCTTCCTCGTGGCTCGTTCTTCAAGTCTTAGTTTCCATCATGAAAGTGTTTAAACCAAAATCGCATTAGCAGACCCCTCTCCAAACGCAACATTGATATTGCGGATTGTTTCTGCCGCGTTACTTCCGCGTCGAAACTCGTATTCAAAAATCACTCGAATTTATGCAGTATCCATCTTTCTTGTATCTCATCGTTAGTTCAATAACAAAAACAATTTAATGTCGATATTCAAATGTTTGAAACCATTTGAAAAAAGTTTCTTTCGAAAACCTTAAACCGTGAAGATTTTATGTCAATTCAAGGAACCTATTACAATAAAACGGCAATTACCCACTTAACCCCTCGCTATAGATAAAATATCGCTCGCTATACAGTCCAATGGTCCAAGATACACAGCAAAGGTTATATAATATTTTCCTATTAAGACGCCAAGCGATATAAAAATATATATTTATGTACGGTTTCAAAATATTATAGCATCTTAACCCCCTGTTACAAGCTTTAATCAGCTTATTAAGCTGTGACAGATAGACAATTTATGTGATAGACGTCAACGTCGTGTCTAATTTATAAATATCAATAAGACGATACCGAAACTAGATAGAAGTTTGTACTGACCCCCAAATACACCTAAAATGATTAGAATATTTTAGACTAGAGCCTCTCTGTATATCAATATATATTTCTATACAAAACTAATTTGACTCAATGACTCGCATAACAACAAAAAATGCAATCAATTTAATTTATAAAGTTAATTCTTACCGATAATTAAGATGATAAATAAAAACATTTTAAACAACATTTTACAAAAAACCTGAACCGAAATATCTTCAACTCGAATTGAAACTGACACATATAATAAATAGGGTGCTCCAATGACGTGATAAGATAGCCTCATCAACCTTTAGTGTTTATGTTTAATAACAAAAACAGTAAATATGTATCTATTTCAACCTATATACAAGAATAATATTGTAATCGTGCTCTTAAGGGGTCACAAGATTGAAAACCTTGTTATTTGATATTCATTTATTCTGAACTTATGAACTGTTATGGCATTAGAACTTTTACATATTTGACGGGTAACTATGACAGCTATTTTTTTATATACACATTTTTTTATTTAAGTAAACATTCTTCACATTTTCTTATTTTTAAAATAAGTTTTTAAGCCAAAGTAGACCAGCGTTTTGTCAATATCAGTTGCTTAATTCTAAGTACATCAAAGTGAATTGTTTGATCTCCATTTTATCTAAATTATTTTGTATCATTTGTACTCTACTGAAAATTTAATACATAGGTACAATTCGGTTTAAATTTGCAAAAATAATAGTTAAAATTTATGATATGCAAAAAAACTACTGATGCCATTTTGTGGATTTCTTTGTTGATATGCTATGCTGCACGTTTGCGAGGTGTTTCCACATTTTACAAGCTATATTTAAACACATCATAAAATTTTTATATTTAGTGCCTAAAGTACTTTCTTAATTTGAAATTTTGAGTAATCCAATATGCTCTAATTACCTGTTCGTAAAAAAATCATCTGGTGAGAACATGATAATTTAATCGTATAAATCTAATAATAATAAAGTTATTACAATTTAAATAAGAAATGTAAACGTATATTTTCTCGAAATATCTACTTAGTTTTATTTATTACGGAAAAGCCAGAAACGGGTTTTTCTTTTTACCTTCTAATAAATCAAGTTTTCAAGCTTAGTCAGCCCTTTATTCATTTGCCTAAAGCATCAAACCCATCAAAAATAAAGTTAAAAATGTAATGATCTATCTACTTAATTGTGTAAACCAGCCATTAGTTTGAAACCGCACTGCGATATAAACTTTCTGAGTTCTATCGTTTTACGGTAAGTAGCTGAAAACGCAAAACCTTACATACTACAGCTCGCATTTGCAATTACGCGTTTAATCGCAGAGCTGTCCAAGCCTAAGCTCAGTATGAATCTGCAGTAAGTACTGAAAGAATTCAGTTACACAATACTAAATAGTTTCGATAATCCATTGCGTTGAAGAATTTTTAGTGCATTTTTTTACCTAAAAAATAACAAAATGTGTAGGTAGAAAATGTGAAAACATCCCTCCGTCTAGTATAGGCAAAAATCTAAATTAGCTTTATTTAATCACTTACATAACAGCATATTTTGTCATTCAATATAAGTTTTAGAAGCAGTAACTTAAATATTATTTGTGTTAAAACACTTATAAACATCATATTACATGTCAAAAGTAAAGCACAACTTACTTAATATATTATATATATTTTTAGTCTTTTTCATTTTTCTTAAGCGTTTAATAAAAAAGAAGTGAAATTATAGAAATAAAATACATCTAATAACAGTATAAAAATGGGATGCCCTTGTCATACAAGAACGTTTATAGTAATTAAATCACAGTACGTATATTATCACTAGATAATTATGTTAAATTAATATAATGGAATAATTAATTAATCTCTTAGAGATATAAAAGATTTACTTAAAGTGAACAATCTAAATAAGACTCTTACAAAGGAAAAAAGCAACATTCCATAAGTACAGTCAGCACGTCAAGTTAATACAAAACAGCCAATTTCCTCCAATTGATTTTAAGCGTTAAAACATTGCCAGTAGAGATATAAATCACCTTCTTAAATTATATTAATCGATAGATAGTAATAACCTAACGTGCAGCTGTGTATACAAATATACACATAAATAAACTTGATACGTTCACGATACACCAAAAGTATTATAAGTATTTGATTGTACTTTAATTAAATACTACTCTTATATTTAATACAAAATCCTAAATTATGATACAATAAGTAAAGAGTGATTAGGCATTTTGGGTTCCGAACATATCATAACATAAAATAATAACCGGCAAAAAGCGAACCGGTTCGAGCGTAGTTTCCCACAAATACGTTTTAAAAACAAGAAATTCAAAAATTAAGCTTTGCAAACCTTTTTAAGATTGTTCATTTATCCCTCAAAAGAGTAATTCATGTTACACGTTCGCCTTTGGACCGTCCACAAGTATGTGAACCAATTTCACCTCCGGTCCAGTTGTTTCTGAGAATATCAGTATCAAAAACCGATGTGATTTTATAAGGGCGCCGTTTTTTTATGAAGGTGCGGAACCCAAAAAAATATATAATAAACTCTAAATTATACAAACAATTATTTAAAAGATATACCTTTTATAGTTAGTATAAAATAAGTTTATGGAAATTTATAACAATATTTTATTAAACATGCTAATTGCAATTTCAATTTGTTCCTCATATACCTTTTTATTATCAGGTCGCTTAGTTAACACATAGCCCCAATCACACTCCACATTTATATCATTAAAAAGTTTGTGATAATTATATTTTTGGAGTTATACCCACTTTTTAATGATCTGCCGCTAATACGGAATCAAACTCAACACTTCACCATGGACATATCTAAATTATCATTGCACTTTTCACACGTATGCTGGATCAGATAGGCGTGAAAAGGACGGATAATTTGTCGTCCTAAGGACAACATGATTATTTACACACGTTCCGACATACCAACATAAATACTATCTTACGAACTATTATACGCTTTGGAACCTCTTAATCTATTATTTAACATACAAAAGTCTTTCAAAATATCAGAAAGTCACAAAAACTTCTTATGTAAAAGTATATAGTTTATCAAGTAAATAGGACCTAATATTATGTACACAGAGTATATAATAATTATAAAGTAGACCACCCGGGCCCGACACAATGTAGAACAGAGGATATTTTACATTTACTCGACGGGGAAACTAACCAGGAGATGGGAACTTTAAAACCGGTTTTTATAATACGGTAATCGGTAGCAAAATTCACATCAAAATTAATAATTTCACGCGGATTTAGTAAGTTTTGATACATATTTATAATGTGATGTTTATTTTTTTATTACGTAAAAATACTCACTGTTTGTTCACTATCTTAACTTATGTTAAAAATTAAAATTATAATATTTAATACTAAAACATACAAAAAAATGTGCACTGACAACATTTATATAAAATATGATAAGGCTTCGCTATGAATAACGTAATAAAAAAATCGAACATGATAAACTAAGATAACAGAAAAATGGATGGGTAAAATCCGCGAAAAGAAAGTAATAATATACCGATTTATATACATCATAACATCTATAGGTATATTATTTAAATATAAGTGAAAAAGAAAAATTCATATAGAATTTATTATCAAATTTCTGTGGGCAGTGAATTAATTCGTTTGATCAGATAGAGTATAGTTTAATATGTTTACGTATTAGTATTCGAAGGACTCAATTCTTCAAAGCAAATTATCATAAGTTAAAATCATACAGAGCAAATCTAGCATTATTTATAACATTCGTATGTTGACCGAAGGTTAAGTAGCAAAAGGTTATCCATTAATCTCATGCATACATACTCAATCTTCCTTTTATGGTTAAATTATAACGTTTTGTGGCTTTGCACAAGCCATAAAATATAAAATTATTATAATATTATAAATAGAGAAAATCAAGTATTATGACAACACTCGAAGCATGTGTGTTTATAGAAGTGGTGACGTGTATCACCCGGTTTCTTAATTGAGAATTAAAAGTTAAGCGTCGTTAATTAAACGTCTCAAATCGTACATAAATTATTTTAAAGACACTTTAAAAAGATTTTCGTTTCTGATTGCTTTAATGATCCGTTGCAATTTGATAAAACAAGCACTTTTTGCCATGTAAAACGTAAAAAACTTGAGTTATTGAGAATAACCAGTTGAGAATTTGTTCTTTTCTCAATGTAACAGCGGCGAAGTTTTGGTGGATATGGTTGATCCGCCGGCAAGGGACTCGCTTTACTTCACTGTATCAATCTTATTACATCCACAATGCAATACACGCATTTACCTTAGGGTGAAAAGGGCTAATTGATAGACTAAAAGTCTTCCGCAAGTGGCTCGTATTTCTTTCTTCGTTTGTTCTATTTAATATTTTCTTTCATTGAGAATTAAGCTGAATTTCGTATATATTGACGAAAGTTTTCGGTTTTTTCTTTACCATATGAAGCGGGAAAAATCTTGGGGTATATCAACCTTAAAATATGCCGCTGCCAATATAATATCAGGCAGGATTAGTAGCACACTTTGCTACTATTTAAAGATTATTGTATAAAACAATAATGTTATTAAATATTTCAAATTAAGCACCTAAATAATAATACAAATATATTCGGTTTACTCATACAAACATATAGTATAATTATACCAAACGATATTATTTTCCAATAAAAAGATAAGCTTATATACACCCAATTAGCTTTACCCATCTAAGAATATATAGAAAGTTTTCTTGAACATTTATCTTATTTACATTTTTATAATGGTCGATAGTGACAGCAATTCTGTGGTATAAGCTAGACTTAATTAAGTTTTAATGCTGCCTATAAATAATAAAGATAAGAGACGCAACTTATTATTTTTATAGTAAACAGAAGAAGTTATATTTCTTTGGTTACATGCAACAATGGAATAACGTTAAAACAAACCCATTATAGAAATAAATATTAGATACATTAATTTATAACTATAACTCGTTCGAATATATAACGCGGAAGTACGTAATAAAAGATAACAATCTTATTTTCTAGTTTTATCATTTTATAATTTGTAAATTGTATAGGTGAATAATATTTTTTGGCACTATACAATTTTCAAGTGAAATTAAGTTCGATTGATTTTATTTGTATAATTAAATTTAAAGCAGTCCTTGTAATTATTAAGTTGATGATGTAAGTTCTGATAGTAAATGATTTATCGAATGTGTTTAATGAAGTAAAAGATAATGTTATTTTCAATGAAAATGGAATAAAAAAATTTATATATCGCACACCTAGATCTAAACTAAGACAACTCAAAAAACTAATGTGTAGGTCTGACAATACATTTGTTTACGTGGCAAGAGCGCGACCACTGTTGATTCAACAAAAGAAAGCTAAAGTTATCTAGCGGCTCATCCCCGAACCTTTATTGGAATTAATAGGAATGGAATGGAAGGAATGGAATTAATAGACTTCGCTTTGTTCTATAAAGACTAATTATTTGTTCAACCTATGTCCTACAGACTTTGAAAGTTGTATTTATTATTGTGATAATACATATTATTTTGGTAATGACATGATTTATGTAAATGTCATTACGTATGATAAAGAGCTGGTAAGTTTCTTTCGCTTGTTCTTCTTGTCAGCTAAAAGACGTCCTGAACAAGGGGTAGGGGAAAAATTTTTTTTGACGATTCTAAAGTGCTTGAATAGCCTACTTGAATAAACATATTTTCATTTCATTTCATTGAATCTGTAATATTGGATAGATGCGTATGATCACCGAGTATTTGAATATTAAGTCAAAACACACTCAAATTTTTGAGTTGTCTCAGTTCAGATCTAGGTGTGCGATATATTTCCAGAGCAGTCATCAATAACAAAAGAAAACGACGCGACGCTTAGTCAATCATGTCAAAAATAGATACACATTAGGATTTTCTCAAGCCATAACATTTGGCCAACTCTCATTTAGCAAACAACGATCCGCCCTATTTCATAGTTCATTATAAACTATTACAACGCATCTATCGATACAGCATAAGTTATTTCTTACTGACATTTTTTATCCAAACCGTTTGTTTTCAATATACGTATATACGATCTCCTAAACTCAAGATGACAAACAAAAATGACGAAACCCTAACATATTTCCATCCATTTCCAAACTGTGTTTGCAAACTCCCATAGTGTACCTACACATCATAATGACAAGTTTATGACGAACTCGTTTGTTTGTTTATAAGCGCGTTAATTAATTTTATCCTGGCCTTGATGGCTTTGTACCGTACATATTCCTCCTCGTGACCTTTCTTGTCATCCCTCTGCACTTTCCTGCTGTTCTGTAGCTCAAAACTCAGCTCGTACTTTTTAATGCTGCGTCGAAGCACCTAAAACAAAACAACGATCGTTATATTTATTCAAAAATGCATATCTTTTCAGCTTTGTTGCTTCAGTAAATATATAATCAAGTAATATTTCAATACACTTATTTAGACCAGGAGCGTAGCTACGCCGTATCAGCCGTTTCAATGACGGGGCCCTCGAACTACAGGGGCTATTTGGGCTCTCAATTAATTTTGATACAGGGCCCCTAAAAGTCACGTTATACCACTGATTCAGACCTAGATTTTGTGAGGAAGTTGAAGACCAAATTGTTGTTGATAAAGTGGATTGTATTGCTTTAATAAGTACGTTCTAATTATGTATTCTCATAAGAGTAAAACCGATGTATCTGAAATTTAAACAACACATAGTAACTATAACATAAATTTCGTCAAGTTTCAAAATGTAGACTTTTTGTTTCCATGATATCTAAGAGTTTTTGTTACCATAATATTAGGTATATTAAAAATCTTACAATGAGAATGATTGAAACGTTCACGGTTTAGTCAAGAACATAAAATAAAATGTGAACTTAGGTTATTTTATTTTCTACGGAGGTATAATCTCCTTCTAACTCTATCCATTTTTTTTTATTCAAATGGAACTTATTCAAAGTCTATTTGAATCGTTCAACATTTTTTACCTACCAAGGCCTTAAACTTAAAGCCTCATCATTTAATTTAGACCTCTTTATTGAGCCAAAATTATTGACTACCAAGTGGCTTTTATCTCGCAATAATATTGTTCCAAAGTCATTAGTCAATCATATCAATTGTAGCAAAATATACTTACGCATTTCTGTAGTTTAGCTTCAGCGAGTGCTTTCGCGAGATCTTCAAGGCCTAGGCAATGCAGACCTTCGTTGGAGGGCGTGGCTTCCTCACTGGTGGTTCCTGATTGAGCTGATGACGTGGATGAAGCTACTTCTTCTGCACCGACGATACTGACATCACGAACCGGAGGAGATTGCAAAGGAGTTTCTACAGTGTCCTGTGAAAGCACGTAACATTATTTATAGCCTAAAGAAAATTAAAAAATAACATTCACTGTAGTGTTTGATATTATTTTTCATTTAAGTTAAGTACAGTTACATAGTGAACTCAAAAGGTTAGTGCCAAAATTCAAGATTTGAAGAGTGAGAGTCTCTACATAATTGAATGATTAAAAGAACGAAACTACTAATCACCAACATTTAATGAGCATCATTTGTAGTAAATAGATGAGAGGCCATCTTGGTTTTTAGTAATCTAATAAGAAAAACAAATACCATAACTTTATTTTTACACACCTGGGAGGAGTCTGATGGCTTTTCTTGGGAATCACTGGAGCTGTCGACGCTATTTGAGTTAAACAGCATTGTCTCATGTTCATGGATCGTCGCCAATTCTCCGTTAGTGCCTCCAATTACCTGTAATATTGCCTCAGTTCATAAATTTTGTAGATCATAAATTTTATTAAAATAGCTATTTTTGTAATTATCCATCTTTCCAAGTTGCAGCGTGAAGTTAATTTTGTTGTATACAATTTCAACTAACGTATATCAAGGTAGTTCTAGATATGCACTGAAGAAAAGGATAATGTTAGATCTCGTATCATTAAAAGAGACCCATTTAAATAGAGATAAAGAACCTGCTGTTCTTCCTCACATAATTAATGGGAACTCTTTTGATAATTCACAAAGATAAGAACTGCCAAAGATTCAAATCACTCGGTCATTCTTTTGGTAGCCACTCGACAAGAGAAATGTGTAACGGTAATGAAATGAAATGAAAAGGTTTGCATGCGGAAACCTAGGACGAATTAAACGGTGCAACGACGCACCGTTAGATTTTGTACAACTGACAGATTAAAAAAAAAATCTTCCGGCAACAACACGATCATCATTGAAAATTAATAAAATATTTTTAGTGTACATTTAAAATCTATGCTGTGATTTACCTAGATAAACCCAGCAAAGAGTTTTTTATTTTGAATATAAATGTACCAACTTAACAAGCCCAGTTAGCCGTTTCATTCACCATCCAACAAGAAGCACCGAACCCGTCACACATCTAAGCGGCCTATACGTAAACTAGTGAGCTAATAGTGAGAGTAATCGCTCGCTTCTCAATCCTAATAAAATTTTTGCCTAATTTGGAACTGGAGTCAAAACACTTGTGAATTCGGAAATATATCACATACCGCATCAGGTCTCGATGCAGCTAGTGCCCGTTTGACATCCCTGTATCGCTCGTAGAGATGCCTGGCGGCTCCCCTGTCTGCGGAGTGAGCCGGCGGCCGTCCTCTGGACGCTTCCAGTCGCAGTAACACTCGTTGGACGCATAACTTTTCCGCTGCCAACTGGGCTGCAGACCATGCAGCTTCGGACACTGTCGACCGACCCGCCGCTTGTCGACAACCGTCTAGCCACTATTGCGAGAAAACAATAGTGCCAAAATCAAAAATAACTAAAACATAACAAACTCTCCGAGGACAAAAGCTAACTAATTAAGGTGCTATGGAAATCGGAAGCTGTGAAGGTACCATAACCATAAAGAACCCAGATATTATTAAAGGAAAATTCTTTTTCCCGTTTAATCGATTTGAAATTGAATCCAAGATCCCAAAATTAAGGAAAGACTCAATAAAACAGTGCCAGCCAAATGAGTCAAGCAGTCTTTAAGTTCACCTATTTGATGATGGATATCAGAAATAACTTCTTTGGATACTATTTAGTTTCGCGTTACCCTTTAAATTGATTCAAAAGCTAACTATTTTGTAAAATACAAAAGACCAGACGGGAGATGGTATTAAGTAACTAACATTACCTGCTGCTTAAAGAGAAAAGAGTGTAAATGGCTAGATGATGATAAATTGCCAAACCAAAATGTAACAAACTTATTTCATCAGTTAATTTTACATCAGTTTTATTTGCATCATTTTCATCTGTATAGGGAACATTATATGAAAAACGTTTACATTAATTCTATGATCACAAAATTTATACTTTTGTTTACTTTTGTCTATTGATAAAAGATTTGATTATTTTGTGTCTCTTGATTCTTACCTCTTCTATGTCACGCACAATATCTGTCATTGGTTTTTCACTTTTCAGGGCCTTATCTAGTTTATCGTCGCGCTCTTTCTGCTGTTTAGCGGCCTGTACTTTCGAGGCATATTCTACTGGATCTGCTTTGATGCAACGCTTCTCCGCCTGAAGTCTTCGTAGGGTTTCATGCATTCGAGTCAACTGTACGTCTGTGATGCGATCGCTGGGTGTTATCGCCTGGCCACTGTTTGCTTCGTATTCGCTCTCGTACTTGGCTATAATCTTTTTCAAGACACTGATCTAGAAAACATGAAAAAATATTTTAATGAAAATTATACATTGGTGAGGTATATTAATCTAAAAGTTCCAGTAAGTTCCATATATTCTATTGTTTTGTAAAGAAAGGCAGATATTTTGATTGATTTCCTATAAAATATAAAGCAAAAACTCTGCATTCAGCTTCTAATGACTTCTCTCTTCAGCACAGTTCTTTGTAATGTTTTAAGACTATCTGTTTATTAAATAATCTAATTGCTATTCAAGCAGATTACGATTACAGAACAGCAGACGCATCCGGGACTACTTATTAAGTTTAACGTACTTTCTAAGTTAAGAAAGAGTTCGAGTTGTTAATATCGGTCACTCGTCTGATGATGAGCCTTTGCCGAAGTTGACCGATCACTAACCAAACCGTAGTAAAATATATATAAAAGAAAGACGTGTTAGTTACACCATTTACCATTTGTAACTCGAGAACGGCTGGACCGTTTTTTATGGTAGTATTTTTTTGGATTAGTCTTATTTGATAATAAAGAAAGATAATTTTGAGTCCTTTATTCATTGAACCAAGAAATTTATATATATTTGACATTCAAATATCTTGGGCGGAACAAAGTTCGCCGGGCCCACTTATATTTAATATTAACCTTCTTGTTGATCTTATCGAGCCTTATGTCTGGACAGGGTTGGTCACGGCGCGTGTGTGGTCGTGGTGCGGTGCTTCGCTCGTCGCGCCGCGCTTTCTCTGCCGCCGCTGCTCGCGCACTTTCTGCTTCGATATCGACGGTCTCAGAACTCTCAATACTGACTGTTCGGCCAACTTGACGCTGAAGAGCTCCAGCATCCAATGTTTCAGGTTCATCAGATACTGAAAAAAAAAGATTAAAGCTTCTATAAGAATCGAAAAAAAATAGGAATTTAACCCTAAATATATGTTATGCTATAGCAATTTATGAAACTGAAAGGGAGCAGAAATAAAGGATGAAGTAATGAAATTAGTTATTTCTTTCTATTTTCAAGATATCCAATGCTTTTAAAAGCATTATAGATTTTCGAGTGTAAAACATTTATTTAAGTACTTAATAATTTAGAAAAACTTAGTAGCATTTTAAAGTATCAAGATGAACGATTTGACTTTCTAACATTTATTTGGACTACTATTGTTTGTGGATCAAAACTTACATTGTGGTTTCTGTATGGGGCTATAGTCGGAGGAGGGAGGGGTTGCGCAGCGCTCTTCTACTGTGGTGTAATAATCGTTCTCTTTGGGGTGCTTGAGGGTGCGGACTGGTGCACGGCGACGTTTGCCACCGTACTGTGGTCGACGTGCACGAGACAGACGCTCGGCTCGCCGTTCAGACTATAATAAACCCATATTAAATCAGTGTATTTAGTTAGCCAAGCAATTCCTAGACATAGTTAAGTCGAGCTTCTTATGATCGCATCACACATGCACTACTAAAGAGAAATCTTTAACAGAATTGTGCAGAACGAGTAACTAGTGATGAGCACTGACTTGTATGCCCAGAATCCAAACTTGAGGGGCTGTAGATCTCTAACTGTTCATTCACATGATACTTCGCTTTGATTCGATTTCTGCCTATCCCGTTCAATATAATCACTAGAAGTTTGACTTAAATGTAGAGCCGTTGCAATACAAAACAATATACAGAACTATACAACTGGCAGTTTAAAGATCCGATAAGACATGTTTGAGATTGAATATTCCAGAACCATCGTAAATTTTCTTGAAATTTATTACATATAAGAACCTGAAACCATATTAAAAAAAATCTTTATTTTTTTTATTAGAATACTACGTTCGATAGCAGTTATCCAATTCACATTGGATAACTATTTTTTTTCCAAATCTTGCTGCTAAATACGCTAATATTCCAAAAATGTATCCTTACTTCGTAAAACTACATCGGTTCATTCTGAGTTTTGACCAATCATTGTGATCAGGTTGAAAGTTGGATACACACGATTTTTTTTTTTTAAGAAGTCTGGTGCTTTAACATTACCTTAATTAAGTCAATCACTGCTACATAGACTGCAGGTTATTTATTTACCTCTAGTCTATTGTAGTCATGTAATGGCGGGGGAGGAGGTGGTGGTTGTAGCCGTTCTTCACTATGTGGTCTTCGCTCCTTGCGCTCATGCGCACAACCCGAGTCACGTCGCTCGCGACGCTTGCGCGCCTCTCGCTCGCACTCGGGCGCTGCCATATCTTCTGTCTCCTTTTCGCGCTCCTCCCGCTCGCAGCACTGCGCAGGCCAGGCGAGGCCAGATATTACAACCCGCTGCTCGGTCGGGCACTCGTCTTGCCCGTAACCCTAATGCCAGTTATGGTGTTTAGTGCGTGATGTAAGCGTATGTGAACTGAGTAATTGAAAGCAGTGTTGTGTTATAATGCATTTGAAATGTCCCCAAAGAAAATAGTGGTCGTATTTATGATCTAAACTTAACTCAGTGTGTTAAGAATGAAGAAGCGCACCACTAATGTTCTTACATTATGAAGGCATAAAAAAGAATATTTCAGACTTGAAGATTGGTCGAAGACAGAAGGTCAATTAACTTGAATTTTCAATAAACCGCCAATATTTACCTTACCAAAACATAGGTATCTGTGAAGACTTTATATCATAAAAATGTGTTTTTCAATAATGGCAATAAACTGCCAATTCTAGTCAAGTTGAAAAACTCTAGTCAATAATAGAGCGATAGTTCAGGTAAATCAACTCGTATTTACTTTATCATCAATCTATGCCAAGACGTCAAATAGGGCTGTTTGAGTAGCTCTTCTTTTGTTCTTTTTTACTGAGGATTTGGAACGTTTTACCATTATTAATTGTTCCACAATATTCAAGGTTATTACCACGCGCGAATTTGTTTATCATTGTTTACCTATGCGATTTGTTAAAACACCAATTGCGTGCATAGTGAAATAACTACAACAAACAATTATTCAAAAGTAAGTATACCAATATGTCTCATAAATACAGTCTTTAAAAAAAAAAGTAAGTAATTTTTTTATTTTTTTTATTTTACAGTTTGCGTCAAGCATTCATCATATTAAGTAATTTCGTAAGAAAGTATTTATTGTATTTATTCGGGATGGTGTAACATTTCAGTTCAGGTATTCAAAATACCTCCTTGGTACCTCCAGGGCGATTCTGTAAAAATCTGAACCCGCATCCGAATTCACTCATGTGGACACATGTTTCACGTAATTTAGTGTAGAAATTCTATTAATTTCATTTTTTTAATAAAAATACAAAACATGATTGATTGATTCATACGTGTCTCAGATATTCTATTCTTATGTTATTTCGCTTCACTTATGCCACGAACCACTTTCAAGACCCTAGTTGTAAAGCACTTCTTCACTGATGAATTTATTTATAAATTTATCTCATTTTCTAGTGGTCTCGATCATTTTTCTGTTAGTAACATAAAAGTATGTATAATATATTTATTATTATTATACATTTAACATGACTTAAAATTTATTTATATTTATTAAAGTTGTCCACTACTAGTTGTACAACTCCTGCATGAATAATGTATTTTAACTATTTTAATGCACCTTCCTCCATCGCTTATTACTGTAAATATGGTTTCTTCAGCCTGGAAGAAATCACTGATAAGCGGTAAAGCTGCTTACTGTACAAATACGATTTTAATAGGTGTATTTTAATGTGTGTTGTATTGTTTAATTAATTTCTGTGGTGTGTTGTACAATTAAGTTATTTATTTACAAACTAGCTGTGCCCGCAACTTCATCTGCGTGGGAAGTATTTTGGTAGAATTTTTTTATTCCTATGAATGGAGTCGAATCGAATAAGATCAATGGGCCATAACCCACTATGCGGGCTTAATGCGGATCGGTGGGTGTTAATGTTACTGATGCAGCCAGAACTAACAACTTAACGTGCATTGTGCCAGTTTTTGCACAGTACACAAGATAATAATGTTTTGGTCACCCATCCTGAACTTACGAATGTAATTTTTCTATCTTTTTTCTCGTTTCTTGCGCTCTGGTTGTCGCTTGTGTCTGTGAATTTTATTCGTACCTTGAAACTGTCCTTCTTTTAAATTATTATTAATTGTCTAGTTGTATGCACAATCGGCTATTTATTTGTTTTATTTTCCATGGGTTGCGTGGAAGAAATCGCTTGCTAGCGATGAGTTTGTCGTTTGTACTTAGTTATGTAAAATAACTATTCATATATGTCCTTGTTGAGCAGTATTTTACTTATTTATGTCACTGCAATTTAAACCGAATGCTCTAACCCACTACGCCATCGGACCTCCTATACCTAAGATATACTAATATTATAAAGAGGAAAGATTTGGTTGTTTGTTTGTTTGCATCGAATTTGCCCCAAAACTACTGAACCGATAGTTTCACAGCGATTCTAACTACGGGAAGCTACATCACGGATGTCATAGGCTATAATTTTGCGGCAAAGTCGCAGGAAAACAGCTTGTTCATTATACCTTGTGAAAAATTATCTGCGGTACGTCTGTGGAGTATGAAGGCAACACGGGTTGGCGATAATCGAAACTACTTTCTCGATCTCTATTGTACAAACTGCGAGCTCTTTCAGAGACTAAGGGCATTTTTCTATCAAAGGAAGTTTCATACTCATACCATACTGCATGTATGTTACGATTAGCAGTTAGAGAGGCTATGCGATCTTCAGAAGTTTCCTGAATTCAAACGCTTGTTGTATGAGTTCTCCGAGAGCTCAAGAGATTGTCCCTGACGGTAAATGTTTCAAATTCAACTTTATAGTGCATGAGCCTGACGATGGGTGATTAAATACGCTTCGCGTTTTTCAGGTGTCTCCCGAGACCGAGCGCTTTCCGTCCGATCTCTTTCTTTGTCAATAAAAGTCAGTCGGTACATGTCTGACGGAAGATACGTGGAGTTTTATTTATTGATATAAAGAATATATACATATTTTAATTTCGACTTTCCACACTCGAAGGAAATCGTCTACTAATACATACTTCCGAGAGGTGCTTAACTGAGCTTCCGTCAGATTTGAATGGCCCTCATCATCATCATCAGCCCTTTTACGTCACCAACTGCAGGAGCTTATGGATTAAGGAGGATGTGCCACGACCCTCCATGCTGGCCCAATGCGAATTGGAGGATATTAACGACTGCAAATACAACCGGGACCAATCGCTTTAGGTGCCTTACAAAGCTTGGCGTTGCTTGAAATAATATTTTTTGGTCATCCATCCTGTGACCAATCTTTGCGAAAGTTGCTTAACAACTACAATCGCGAGCCATGGCGTTTATTCACTTCGCCACCGAGCTACTCCGAACCGATCCTCAGACTCGCGTTATATTATATGTGTTGTGACCAATGAATAAACCATTGTCTCCGGCGGAGACTGAAAATACCAACTTTGAAGTACGTATCTACAGCAGATTTGTATGTTAAAAAAATATCAAAAATAGTATTAATATAAAAAATTGTAATAAGAGAAAAATATATATATATATAAATCGAGTTGTTTTTACGTTCTTAACCTCAGTTGACGTGAATCTAACTTTTTTAACGTCATGGAAAAGCTTCTGACATTATCTCTGCTAGGTGGCAAGCAACAGGGGATGAGTAGGATTCTCCTCCGTGAACACGATAGTGAGCTGCCCACTGGGTCCTCAGAGGTCTACCCACCAAAACCCGTACACTACACCGTCTCGTTTGAAATGAAACCTGGAAAGTTATGGCCGCGTCACCAGAACACTCAAGTATTAGAGACCATTGGTCCACTTGCAGATGGACAATTGGAGAGGCTCGGGTAAATCGAGTGCCTCTCCCAGAACGACGAAACCGTGCAATGCGGGGGCTGCCAACCACCTCCGCTGGCCCCGACGACGCCGTGAACCTAATCTGATAAAAATATGCGTTTACTGTAAACTACTCGATGCTTAATTGCATCATCGGAAGGCTCTTTTCGCTTGTTCTCCTACTCGCGTAATCGTATACCGCAAGTCCATTATAAGCTGAACACTATTTAATATCATTGGCCATTTATAAATGAGGTCAACTTACTTCGGAGTTGTCAAAATTTTGGAATCTTATTTTTTCATTTTCATCATACAAATTATCATTTTATAGACCATATTAATTCGTCGCTCGGTGGTGCTACGGATAAGCGCCGCTGCGCACGATCGATATTGCTAAGCAATTTTGGCAAGAGTTGTTCACGGGATGGGTGACCAAAAATTATTAAACAGAGGCCTGAGGCCCTGCAGTTTGGCTGTCAAAGAGTTAATGATGATGATTAATATATCTAAGACGAAAATTTAATGATACAGTTTATATTTCATAGCAATTTTGACGAACATGTCACTTCATATTGACATAACTTTTATATTTGTGAACCGATTGAAATAAATCTTACACTAAATGTTAACGGAAGAATACCGCAATATAATAGTGAAAACTGCATTTAAATCTTTTCAGCCATTTCTGAGATTATCGTGCACAAACGCACAGACAAACCGACAAACAAACAAACAGACAAAATATTTAAAAATCATTGCTTTGTGTTCTATTACGCTTATAAATGTCCCTCATAACAGTTTTTTTCATATATCTTCAATGTACAGACATCGATCGGTTACGTTTTTATTATAGTATAGATAGAAGAAGATAAAATCAGATTATTAACTTTTAAAATCACAAAATTTAAGTTAAACTTTATAAACGAACCCTATGCACGCAACTGGGGCCATAATAAGTCCGTCACTAAAGAGAGTTTGGCATCATTTTGATACTTTACTAAAATTTTGTTAAATAATATTTTCGAGGAGTTCTGAGTGTTCAGGGAGAATTGCGATGTAAATTTTGGACATAGTTGTAGGCGTTCTGCTTTGATGTGTTGTTAGTTATGTGCTTTATGATAGTGTAAATAGAGACCATGTTCCTAACCATAATTAGATTGTTTTTACCTACACACACTTGAAAATTAATGTATTTTAATTTATTAAACTTTGAATACGTTTCACCGATAAATTCGATGATTAAAGTATAATAAGGTCGGGGACGAGTTGAATACTTAACCGCCTTAAAAGATTTTTTTTTTGCATGTAGAGGTTACTCACCAACCCAATATTCTAGCTTACACAGATACGAAAAGGCCTTCCTCATTTATAGAAGTATATTACGCATGGAGTCTTTTAAAGCTTTCTAACAAAGTAGTTGATGAAGGTTCTAAATTTGCAATTTTGTGTCAATTTTGTATTTTTGTTTATCGAAATGTTAGGAAAGGGAAGAAAAGCAATGGTTAATTTACCGTAATTGAAATAAGAGATGTTTAATAGGTTTGAATATCGCTTGTAGAGATAGAATCAAGTCCTAGGATCCCGCATCCAAACTTTTTGGGTCTGATCTATAAGTTCTTTTTTTTATTCGCTTTTCGTAATTGACATGCTCATTCTGAATGTCAATAGTGATATAGCAGAGTTATTTGAAATGTAAATGGCAATTACCTATGCTTATTACTCTGTCTTTCATACAATAAAGACCTTCTACTTCTAACATATTGATTTATTTTTCAAATACTTCGATAAATATGTAAAGTATTAATTAGCTAAAAATAACCTCTGAATCATTGATTTATAATAAAAAAAATTGTTTGAAAATTACAACCATAGCAAAATGTTCCTTTTTAAGTAACACGGCGCGGCATTGGGCATACAAAAGTATACCTATATATATAATTTATTATCAAGATATAATAAGTATATACTTCTCTTTTTTAATATAAATAAGTAGATACACAATATATGAACGTATATATATATATATATATATATATTATAAAAATTCAAAATATTATAATAAATGTCCTCATCTATGGCAAAGTAAGTAATGTGGAATAAACAGTGGCTGAATAATGTCTCCATATTATTAAATTAAGTAAAGTAGATTATAGTGTTATCTAAATGTCCAGGCTTTGTTAAGTATGTACCTAAGTACATAAGTAACTGTCTGAAGGCTACAGGAGAAGCACGTGCAAATATATCCACTTTTGTAATAAGCCAGTCTATTAAATGGCTTTATTATTAAATAATAAATGTGAAAAAAAAAGTATTGTTTCTTTTCCCGTACCTTCATCGAAGCAATAGAAGCTATTATATTGTTTTAAAAAATATATATTCAATTTAATAAAGCTACGTATTGAGTGATTTTAAATGAAGCCCTTTTTTAATTTTCACAAATACCTGTTCGTATTCCAATTGTACCATGTTTCAGCTTAAAGTTTAGACTTCAAATTAAATTCCCAATATCCAAAAGGGCCGTATACGTGACGACTCTGAAATTAAACCATTTTCGAATGCAACAAAAAGATTAAAAAATAAAAAAAAACGTCTATCTATGAAATTGTGTTGACTTTGCTCTAGATAATATTCACCCATGTTAGCTTAGAAAAAAAAATATACGCATTATACTCACAATACAGTATCTTGCAGCGCCAACTATGGAGTTTAATATCCTGGAAATGTTATCTCGTGTGCGGCTTGCCAGTGTCGTTCGCTTGGGGCCCGCCTTGGAGCAAAACCCCGTCCAATTATAGACAACTAAACACTAATTAACCGGGCTATTGCTTAACCTTTGATATAAAATAAAGCGAAAGAAACAAAACGAAACGGCGGCCCGAAATCGCGCGCCGTCTTGGCGGGAAACTTGACACTAAACTATTGACAATATAGAGTCACAAACACTCGTTACACAAAGGTTTTATTTGATGATGTCACTTCTTACAGCCGACATGTCTCTATCCCGGCACATAGTGGTACGGCACGAGAAGTCAATACTATTTTAAACTGTCAATATTTTACGGTTGCTTCAAAAAATGTGTTGATACCAATCTGTAATTTAGCATTGATGGATCAGGCGGGGTTTGGAGAGCTTGTTAGCTCCTGGTCACTGTCAATGCGAGTTCTTCATTGCTATCATTTTATCACTCATTTTATAGAAATTGAATAAAGACGGAAACAAAATAAATTGAATGCTCAATTGTCCTCAATCATTTTGTTTCAATTATTCGCACTATTATTTCTTGAAATGTAGAGGTCCAAAAGTTTTGTACCTGAAACAAAGAATAAACTCTGCTGATAAATTGGAAAATAAATTTCCCGCAATAAAATATGCTAAACAATTAGGTTTAGGGTTTAACTAAATAAAACCTATAACATCATAATCTTTTGTTATGAAAAAATATATATACATAGTATTAATACGTTCACGTTCATAATTGAATTATAAATTTTTAAATGTTCAAACAAAAGAGCTTCACTATTCTTAGTATAATATAGTTTAATATTGTTTATCTATGGTATATTAATATAACAAGAATGAGAAGCTGGATTCGTGATGCATTCTACAATGCAGAGGTTAAACAACTTTCGTAATGGGTGACTAAAAATTTACTATCGCGAGCTCTTCCGTGCTTTGGGAGGCACAATAAGTCTTTTATTTCATCACAGAAATGCATTATTCACTATTCATACTGCCTGGCAAGCGACAAAAGGTGTGTGGAACTCCCCTTCGTGAATCCGTGGCTAGCTGCGCGGTGGATTCCCGGAGTCTTAACCACAATAATACCTACAGTGTAGCCTCCCCAGGGGATGACAACCGGGAAGCCGTGACCGAGTGAATCTGCCCTGCTCACTCTAGACTGGGGACGACTGAAACTCTGTGCATTGCCCATTCTTGAGTGGTTTACGTGCACCGAGCCTTGACCCTTATCTTACTGCTGCACACAGGTATATCATTAGGTATTCTGTTCTATGCTGTTCTTTTGTATTTTATAAGTTTCCGATGTAATTGTGTGTGGTTGTTTGAATGAACGATTGATCTATCTATCAAATTACCAGGAAACTCACACTCCATTTATTCCTATTTGATTTCATCTATTCAGCTTAGGGAAAACTTGTATAATAATAACATAACATAACATAAGTAACTAAAAAATAGGCAGAAAACTAAAACACACATAAACCACTAACTAAATTGCCTATTAACGTAATAGGTAATTTACTGTGGCAATTACGAGAAAAAGCTTTTAGTAACACTTAGTATTATGAATAGTTTCCTCAGGGGTATCATGTTGTTTTTATTAATTATACCACTTTCGTAATATAAAACATAAGTTGGCATGAGAATTAATCAACTTCGTAACACATCAACACACGTACCTTTATTAGAACTTAAAAGTATACAGCTTATACAGCGTAATTCTCAAAAATGATTGGTGTCAATCGGAAGTCGAGCACAGCGCTGTCATAGCATAGAGTTTCGATCAAATAGAATCTACTTCAAAAGTATGTACATCAACCAGTTGCTTGGATGTCTATTTTTGGTACTTTACGTTATTTTATATGAAGGAATTTTAACTTTTAAACTATCATTACTAACTTATACTATTAAATTTACGAAAAATTTTTAGGTAAATCGAGTGACTATTTAATTGTGGTTGTCTTTTGCTTATCTGTTCTTACTTGTTCCAAAAACAACAATGCCAATAATTAAATCTTAATTCTGAAAAAGGAGTAACATCCAACCTAAATAATGCGGGTATTTTCTTATGACATGGTCGGATACAAACATCCGCTGTTTTGGTTTCAAAAAAATAAAACATAATATATTAACATCCGACCAAATGGTTCGAAAAATACATAAATCCAATAAGTAGTATGTGGAAGTAAGATATTATGGTCCGGGGATGTTAGACCTGCTGCTGAAAGAATATTCAAAATTTTGATTTATTAAACTTTTAAAAAATGCAATAAGGAACCAGTGTATTAAATTAATGAGCAATACAATGTATCAAATAGTTAAGTATATTACAATAAATGTAATGGCACAGTAATTCTCATTAAAATGCAACTAATTCTTGATCGTCACGCTATAGGCCCAAACGCAATATACCATGAAGTCAAGTCAAAAGTGAATCGGTTCCTTCTAGGCAAGCACGCTCCGTCTTAGACCACTGCATTGCTTACCATCAGGTGAGCTGTGGTCAAGTGCTTGCCTATCAAGAATTAAAAAAAACCATCACAAAATGGTTTTTATTAAAGTCGTAATGTCAAAGGTTATGTTCGTTGTTTGATCATATCAGATAATATCACTATTTGGTTTAATCGTTACAAATATTAAATTTTTAGTTCTATACAAAACGATGACTTTACAAAATTTAACATCTTTAAAAATATCAATAGAAAATAAAATAATCCTTTGAAATCTGCGACTCTTCTTATTTTCGTCCCTTGATATATTTTTAGTGTGTGTACAAAATTTTGAAGATAGAGACGTTGTTTAACAATATTATTATTACCATTTTGAGGTGAACACTAGCATTATATTTTCCAGTAGGTATAGCGTTGGGAATTCAAAATTAATCGAATACAATAATTGATGCTCTAGTTTTATTTCTTGTGGTAACTATCATTGCAGCATTACATAAAATTTCACCTTTTTATAGAATAACAATGCTGTAAGTTTTCTCTAAACTAATTTCCTACATATACCTATGTATAAAACATTAAAAAGAGGAAAGTTTTTTATCTTTTATGTGATTTTAAAATAATTTTCAAAGTTACCTGCAAAAACATCTGCATTATATTTCATTATTATTATTACAATCTCTTTTTTTGGAATTAACACAATGTTATTTTCTAATGCCATCGATTTCTGTTGCTCAAATAGGATATTAAGTAAAACATTTAACCGACGCAAAAAAGAATCGCCAGCAATTGATCCGATCTCAATCAGTATAATACTCGTAGTAACTGGTCATTTCTGTTAAAGCTACAAACGACTTATACAATATAATTTCGATAGATTTAAGAATTGCAATAATTTCTATATTACCTTCGCTACAGAGTAAAGTAAACGTCCCTAATAATAGACGCTCCAGATTGCCGATTCTGGCCTCAATGTATGTAATCTCGTTCCACAGCCTATTACGAGACCTTGGCCTGTATTAAACTGCTCAAATAAATTCGGCGAAAATCTCTTTCGACATTGTTACATAGCTGAAACTTTACATCACGTTTGACCTTCAACAGCTTTATTATCCCAGTTATTTGGTATTACTGGGATAATAAAGCCTTTCATGTGAATTTCGTTACTGAATCAATCGTTATTGATGCAATGTTTTGGTTGATTTATTATATTTGATCAAATTTGCTTTTACAATGATATACTGGAAAATATTCTTGATGAAAAAAATACTCTGAGATCGGATAAAGTTCTAGGCGGTAAACATCGGAATTACTAGTTTATCGATAATGGAAATTATTTCATTTACGGTAATCTACATCATGCGCGGGTATTATTCGCTTTAATTGACGCGTGTGAAATTGCGAGAAACAGCTAATAGTTTTTTAATTTATTTGTTTAAGATAAAAAAAAAACACGTTATCTCAATCAGCTATATTTGCTACTTGGTGAACAAAAAAAATCGACAATTTGATAAAAATTAAGCTATAAATATGTATCAATTATATTAATTAAACATATAATTAAAAACAGAAACATTAGACCTATTTAAGGTAGTCGATTTTAATTACAAATTTTGTAAGGAGTGGTTCGGCGCTAGATTGACGCTATTAATTGATTAGACACTTTGTAAACAAATATCAGCCAGCGTCACATACATTCAAAAACTTGTATGTATACTTTGCATACACTACTCAAATCTCAAGTCAAATAACCACGACACTTGTGTCATACAAATCTACAAACGACGAATATTAAATCTCAAACCAAACATGATAATTGTTTTGTATTAAATATGTAGTTTGGAGTGTAAATAGTTACGTTGCTATTGCATGGATGAAGAAAATGTAGTAAACATAAAGCTGTTTATTAGTTAAAACCTTGAACGCTTGCCAGATCTCTAAGGAATTGTCAGGCCATTAGCTAATCATCATTATTACTGCTAAAGACGGTCGAAGTCTGTTTCACTTTGGATATAACCATTTATTTCTTGTATAAGTTTATGATTATATTTCTCTTCCAGAGCATAACCGTTTTTTAATGCATCACCATCACCAGCCCTTTTACGTCCCCACTGCAGGGGCTCAGGCCTTCCTTATGGATAATTAAGGAGGATGGGCCATGACCCTCCACGCTGGCCCAATGCGGATTGGAGGGTATTAACGACTGCAAATGCAGCCGGGACCAACGGCTTAACGTGCCTTCTGAAGCACGAAGTAGCTCGAGATAATAATTTTTTGGT